AATCTTTTCAAAGACTGCCACTTCCTGGTGACCAAGTATTCATATCTGTGAGCTTTGGGGACCATTCTCATTCAAATAACCACAAGGACCATGCTCCGGCACACAGAAAGTTAGGGGCCAGCCTAAGCTGCATGAGCCCCTTTCTCAAAAACAAACATGCAAAAGGGGGAGCCCCCCCAAACCAAGGCAGTTCTTGGAGGAACAGTTCCTCTTGTCCCCAGTACTTTTTCCTCCTTAAAGTGAGTCTCTGTTTTTATTGTCTTGAGACATGGTCTCTCTATGTAGTCCAGGCTAGCCTCAAACCTGCTATCCTGCCTCATCCTTGGGCCCTGTAGAGGAATTTTAATTGAGAACAAGGCTGTTCTGGCAAGAGATCACATCCAAAGATCTTCTAGGTCTGTGTGATTCAGTTGGAATACAAACATGCCTTTATGCTAGGAGACAGAGGCAAGCAGATCTCTGAGTTCAAGGCCAGCCTGGTAGAGAGCAAGTTTCAGGTAAAGAAAAGCTTAGGTCCAGGCGTGGTGATACATGCCTTTAATCCCAGCACTCAGGAGACAGAGGCATGAAGATCTCTGATCTTCTAGTCAGTTCTGTTGAGTCAGGGAGTTGAGAGGCAGTGCAGTGGAGTTGAGTTCCTGGCATTTCAGTGCATGGATTTCAGAGGCAGTTTTACTGGGAGAGTTTTACAGAGACAGGTTGAAGAGAGAACGAGCCAGAGAATGAGAAGGAGCCAGAAGATTAGAACAGATTGCCAAAGTTAGTATGAGGCCAAGCAGAGCAATTCAGTCCGAGGCAGAGAGAAAAAAGCCAGTTTGAGTCAGCTAGGAGAGGAGTTTGAGCCAGAACAGCTGAATTGAACCAACCAGCAGGAATTCAGAAAGAGCTAGAAAGGGTGAGCTTATTTGGCAGTAAGTCATAGAGGCTGCGTTAGGAGGATGGCTTTGAGTTCAAGGTGAAGCTGGGCTATAGATCCTGAGACCTTCTATCAAAGCCAGATACACAAATTTGGAAAGCAAACAAGCTAGGGAACATCAGCTGATTAATGCTAAACTTAAAGGTTGGGAAAGTCACATAACAGGTCCCTCTGCCACTAGGGAAGGAGCCATCACTACCTGGAGAGGGAGAATGCTGGCATACCACCTGGAAGGAGAGGAGTGTCACCCGGGGGGACTAAGAGTGCTGCTGGGAAGCTGAGCAGCGCTGACTCCGCCTTTGATCCCAGCACTTAGGAACCAAGAGGCAGGCAGATTTCAGAATTCGAGGCCAGCCTGGTCTGCAGAGTGAGTTCCAGGACAGCCAGGGCTACACAGAGAAACCCTGTCTCAAACAAACAGAGTGCTGCTGGGACAGAGACAACCAGTGGAGGAGGCATCTTGCTTCCACCTACTATATCCTCCTGTAGGAAATACCTGGCCAGCTGCCACTACTTTGCAGGAGTGTGAGCTCTGGAGTCACAGCCATGGCCTCCCCGAAGGATGGATTCCAGCTGAGAGGCAGTCGAGTGACAGTGAACTCCTTTCTCTGGGACTCAGGGCTCCCGTTTGGGAGCTAGGCCCCAACCTTGCCTTCTTAGCTGAGGTTGGCTGAGCTTTGTATGTGCGCTTTGGGAGCTGGATTCTGGAAATGTTAAAAACTAACTAATGACACTGATTAATACGCCACTTTCGACAGTAATATTTGAGATGGAAACGCCAGTGCAGAGCCGCTAAGCGCCATCACTCGGGAGCAGAAAATAGCGATTTTTTCCCCCTCTCAGATTCGTGTGCCAGCTCCAAAGGATTAATTATCAGCACACACAGAAGAAGCGGGGCAGGACAGCCTGGCAGGGTTTCCAGGACGTGTGTCATCACCGCTTCCAGTGATGGCAAATCACAGTTGATTAGAGTTTAGAATTTTAAGGGATTTGAGACGCCAGGAAGCTATATTGGTACCCGGAGGTCTGGAATAGGCAAGCAAATCTGCCAAGTGCCATTTTTACCTTCCTAGATTAATACCACTGCTAATTTTTTGTTGCTTCAATGATAATAATGGCTTAAAATCTGGGAAGCAAGGATGAACTTCCGAATGCAAGCCATAAGCACCATAAGCTTAGGACAAAGCAAACAGCACCACACAACATATTTGGCACTTTGCCAGGCTCCAAAAACCCATCCCTTTTCCCCTAGGGCAGTCACTCTCCTGATGCCACTGAAGCTTTGTCTCTTGCCTCTGATGCTCTCTCTCCTGGTCTCTCATTCACTCTGTTCCTGTTTCTCTGTCTGATAGACTGTCTTGCCTTGTCTGGGCAGTTCTACAGGTGAGGCATCCCACTTCCTGTCTACCCTATCAGGAACAGTCTTGAGTTTGTTGTTGTTGTGTTTTGTTTGGCATTGGTGTTTTGCCTGCACGTGTCTGTGTGAGAGTGTCAGATCTTGGAGTTACAGACAGATGTGAGTGGCCATGAGGGGGTGCTGAGATTTGAGCCTAGGTCCTCTAGAAAGAACAGTCAGTGAGTACCCTTAAGTACTGAACCATCTCTCTAGCCCAGGTCGGGAAGTTTTAAAAGACTGGAGTGCTGTAAAAGGGCTTGTTTTCTACCACTCAATAGTCAATGACATCTCTCCCCTCTGCTGTCCACATGGGTCAGAGTCACAGGGCTTCCCTGTTCAGGTCTCATGGAGTTCTGGTAGGATTGGGGTGGGGGGAGTCCTCAGCTCTCTGTTTACTATGAAGTTTTAGCAAAGGTGTTATGAGGGCTTTTGTGCTCCTGACCTTTGTCACTCTATACTCTGGTGGGTTCCATCTCTATACACCAGCCGTAGATAGAATCATGGAAATTGGGCCAGTTCCTCCTAGTCCTGGACCTCTGGCTTACACACCCTGACAGTTCCTCTTTCTGGCCCTTCTATGGATGGCATCTGTGATGTGTTTCCTTGGCGGTCTTGTTCAGTCTGGCATTGCTGTAGGAGTGGGCTTTAGGTGAGGGGAGATGGGGTCCCAGACTAAGGGGATCTCTGTTTCTAAGGATGGTCATCTGATGAGTGGGTAATGATCTATCTGGGGAGTTGAGCAAGCAAGGCAGAGCCTCTGGCAGCAGACCGCCCCAAAAGTTAAGTGTGGGGAGACGGGGAAGTAGAAGTAGCAGCAGGAGAAACCAGCATAGTTCTTCGTCACAAGGGGGACACCTGTAAGTGGCTTTTGATTGTCCAGGCCCTCTAGGCATAACCCTTTGCCCCTTTCACTTTCTTATTTGTAGAGGAAGGATCCCTGTGTGTGTGGATACATGTAGAGGGGCCGGAGATGAACCTTGAGTGCCATTCTTAAACTGTTTACCCTTAAAAAAAATGTTTTACTTATTTGTATCTCTGTGTGTACTTGGCCACGTCTGTGGGTGTGCACTCACTCATTTGTGTGTGCTCACAGAGCCCAGAAGTGCTCTCGCCAAGTCTCCCGCTTTCACTCCACCTGTTCCTCTGAGACAGGGTCGCCCTGAACCTGGAGCATCCTCCCCAGCCACTGGTCAGCACTGCCACACTATGCTTGTTTGTTTGTTTGTTTGCTTGCTTCCTTGTTTTTCAAGACAAGGTATCGATGTGTAGCCCTGGCTATGCTGGAACTCTTTAGAACAGGCTAGCCTCAAACTCAGAGATCTGCCTGCCTCTGCTTCCCAAGTTGTGACATTAAAGGCGTGCACTGCCGCCAGCCACAAACGAGGCCTTTCAATGTGGGGTTTGGGGATTGAACTCAGGTCCATCCTCATGCTCACATGGCAAGCACTTTACCAGCTTCACAATTTCACCAGCCCAGCCTCTTATTTTAAAATAAAAAGCTTTTAAAACTAAAATGATGGCTTTACGCTGACTTAGAGGTCCATAGCTGTAATTTGGTTTGGTGAGCTGCTTTGTGTGCTGAGGTAGAACAGCTGACCACACAGAGCCTCGGGCTCTGCCCACTGTGCCTCAGGAGGCCCATGTGTTCTGCCTGGACAACTCCCACAAGAGCTGTGAGAGGCCACGCAGGCAGCAAAGCTGCTCAATGAACGAGGTTGTTCTTGAGGACCTCAGCCCTGACATGAGACCTTCTTTCTCCCATGACAAGGGAGGAAGGAGAGTTGGCCACCTGCTGTGGTAGAGGCTGGCTGAGCTGAACTGCCCAGCTGGGTCTGGCTCTCACACCCTCAGGGCTGGTTTGGAAAATCTGTGGCCCTGTTCTCTATCTGGACAGGCAGGTGCTTGGGGCGCTGTCTTTGATCACATTCATCAGGTGGGCCCTCTGGAGTGCTCCAAACCCTTCAGTGCATGCAAGCAAGGGGGAGGTGTGTCTCCACTCTGACAGTTTGGACAGTTTTCCTGAGTGAAGGAACAAAGGAGCCCATGGTCAGGCATGTGTGGCCCTGAAATGTCCATGTTCAGGCTTACTCAGGAGGATTGATAGAAGAAAGGCAGCCATTGCAGGGTTAATTTAGGCTTCTCAGCAGCAGGGGCACCAGCCTCTGAAGGACTGAACATTGACAGACAGCTTCCTAGAAGCTCTTTTTATTGTTACCCAAAAAGGCACCTTTGGCAAGTCAGTTTCTGGGTCCCAAAACTTCTTATTTGATCTAGGGGCATCTGGAAAGACCCATCACCTAAGCACCTCTCAGCCATAGGAGACTTCCTGGCCTGTCTTGAGACTAAGTTGTGCAAAGGCTCTGAGAATCTTTCAAAAGAATAATCCCCTGAAGTCTCAGATAACAATCACTGACAAAAGGCTACTTCATAGCCAACGTGCCATCACTCCAGATTCATGCCAGATCCAATGGTTCTACTGAAATTCTGCCATGCTGAAGTGCAAACATCTGGCTGTCTTGGGCAGGTCCTTCTGTTCCCGCCCTGCATCCCTCCTGCCCAAGGGTCCATATCACATGGTTGGTCTCATCTGTTACCTCCTCAAGTCAGGACAAGCCATGGTGGGAGCCCTGCTCCGGGATCTCAGGATCACAGACTCACCCTGGCGCTTTTCTTCTGTTTGTCCCGCAGGTTTTGGGATTTGAGATTGATGCCGTGAACTCTGTGCAGTTTTCCAACCACACAGGTAGGACTTCAAAATGGCAGCCATGGTGGAAATCAGCATAGTATGTCACCTGGTCCTGAGAGAGTAGTTGCCACCTCTTGAGGCAGGGGGATGGAACCCAGAAGGGCCACTCTGTGCTGGGCGTGCCCTCACACCGAGCTGATTTGTGTCCAGTGTTCTGGAACTGACAGGTGGGAAGCCTCTCTTTGGCTCAGCTTCCTCCTCTGCTGACCTGGCAGTCTTGGCACCTGCTGTGGTGGGAGAGCTGAACAGGTAAATCCCAGTAGGTGCTGCTGTGTCCTCCTGCTGTCAACTGGTGACCTGCCCGTCTGTGTGCTTTCCACTATGGCAATACCTTGTGCATAGAGAGCCCCATGTGGTTCTAGACTCAGCACTGGTACCAGGGGAAAGGGCATGTGTGTATCTGTCTTGTCCTGGGGACTCAAAGGCATCACTGCTTCTTTCTGAAGGCAACTGTCCTTGGAAGCCTCTTGAGTTGTTTGGGGCAAGTGTGTGCTCCCCACAGTCCTGATGTGTGGAGCCCACGGTGAGTAGAGCCCTTTCTCTTCTCTGTGCTGGCAAGAGAACAAAGCCACTCAGGTGTTTGAAACATCTCCAACACCTGTTTTGACATTGTTCTGAACACAGAGGGGACTTCAGGAGCTCAGTGTGTCCCAGAGCAGCTCAGCTGGTCGCTGGCCTGATGGGAAGGCTCAGAGGATTTAACATGTGATGCATTTTAAGGTGGGAGGGAAGAGCTATCAGCAGCCTCAGACAGGAGCTGAGAGTGGGTCAGCATGGTCAGCGGCTGCTCAGTACCAGTGCCCTGGCATCTGAAGCCCCACCTGGCCCAGGGCCTCCAGTGAACTGCATGGACCCTGCTGGTGCTTACTGCTTGCTGCTTTGACCACTTTCTTATTTGTGTTTAAATGGGCCAAGATGGCTTGGATGTTGAGCAGTGGGGTTGAGTTTAGTTCTGAGGACCATGCCCTGGGGGGATCACCATCACGCTGTGCTCCAGGTGGTGCTCCATAGGCACTGAAAATCCCTGTGTAATTTAGAGAGGTCCTGGGTGTGTACTTGGATGGCCCGAGATGCTGAATGGAGAAAGTTTGCATTGGTGAAATTCAGGGTGTTGGAGGTTAACCCTATTTGGCATGAGTGATGGGGTGCCCAGGTAACCTGCACCTCTGGAGGGGTCCCAGAGCCTGGGGTCCTGCCCATATCAGGTAGAGGGGCTGGTTGTACCCCTTGGCCAGACCTGTTTCTCATTCCTCTTTGTCTCTTGCTAATGTTTGACCCATGACTTGTTTTGGCAGTGATTTAGGTTGCTTGTGAGAGAGAGAGTATGTGTTGGGGCCAGGGTGAGCCCTTATCTGCCAGGGTATCAGGTGACAGTGACCCAGCAACTTGGCTTGAGGAGACTGACAACCAGGCTGTGCTGAGGGGTAGGGTTGTGTCCGACAAGCCTGTGCTCTTGTTGAACACAGAATTCAACAGCTGTGTGCCCATGTGTTCCTATCCTCATCCCATCTTTGGGGACACAGTTGCACAGGGCCACCTGGGGCACTGAGTGTCTGCTGCCCTGGATTGATGTGATAGGAACCAGGCATGGGAGGGTGGAGGTGGGGTTCAGCCCCCACAGTGTAAAACAGGGGTGCTTCTAAGGTGTTGGGAATCTCACTGGGGCACCAGGTCCAGAGTATCCGGTCTGGGTCAAAGGCCAGCGCTTGCAAGAACAGCTCACTGGGTCTCCTCAGGGAAGGTAGGTGGCTGTCATCAGCTGAGATGGCCACCAGGGAAGTGTGGGCTCCCACATCCACAGCTTAGGGTGTTTTCCTCCTGCAGGCTATGCCCACTGGAAGGGCCAAGTGCTGAATTCCCAGGAGCTCCATGAACTGTATGAAGGTCTCAAGGCCAACAACGTGAATAAGTATGACTACGTGCTCACGGGTGAGGGTTCCCAGCCTGCTGGTGACAGGTCAGGCCCAGATTGTCATCTCTAGGCTCATGCCTAGTCCCTGCCTCCTTCACAGAGGGTCTTGGTGTGCCCCAGGCACCAGCATCTTCTGGAGGCGCTTGCTGTGATACACTGCTACCTATAACATGAGTTCTTCCATTACATTTCCAGTTGTATTTTCTGCTTAATCTACTCATTAGTTTATTGTGTGTGTGTGTGTGTGTGTGTGTGTGTGTGTGTGTCCATACAGTTGCACTCAACAGGTGCCACAGTATGGGTGTGAAGGTCTTTCTACCATTGAGGTTCCAGGGATTGATTTAGGTTTCCAGACTTGGCAGCAGGCATCCCTGCTCGGTCAGCCATCATACCAGCCCCCAATTTAGTTTTCTGAATCAGGTAAAAAGTGCCTTGTTTTATCCCAGCACTAGGGGAGGCAGAGGCAGGCAGATCTTTGTGAGTCCAAGGCCAGCCTGGTCTACCAAGAAAGTCCAAGACAGCCAAGGCTATACAGAGAATCCCTGTCTCAAAAAAACAAAAACAAAACAAAACAGAATAAAAACAAGTCAAGAACAACCCCGCCCCCCCAAAAAATAATATCCAAATCAAAATGAAAAAAAAAAGTTTAAAAAAAACATTTAAAAAATGTTTTAAAATGATTTTTCTGGGTGTGGTGATACATACCTAAAATCCCAACACTCAGGGAGACACAACTCTGTGAGTTTGAGGGAAGTCTCCTCTACATAGTTCTAGGTGAGCCAGGGCTTTATAGTAAGACCCTGCCTCCAACAACAAATAATTAAATAAAAAATACATTTAGGTATTTTTATATACACAGGTGTTTTGTCTGCGTGTACATCTGTGCATCAGAGGATGGCATTGGATTCCCTGGGACTATAGTGATAGACAGTTGTGAGCCACTATACAGGTGCTAGGAATTGAACTCAGGACCTCTGAAAGGTCAGCCAGTGCTCTTAACCACAGAGCCATCTCTCCAGCCTGTAAATAAGAATGTTAAAGAGACACAGGAGCTGGAGAAAAGGCTCAGTGGTTAAGAACATTCCAACGTCTTGCAGAGGGCCCAGGATCAGTTCCCAGCACATACATGTTAGCTCACAAAATTGCTTGTAACTCCAGCTCCAGGTGACCAGACACCATATTCTGACCTCCCAGGGCACATGCACACACATAATATACATATTTTTCAAGTAATATGTCCTGTTGATAGTGGGAAATTTAGGTACCTGCCAATTAGTTATAGTCTTGTCATTCAAAATTCCTCATGTCCCTGGGTGCGGCCTATCTTCCTGTCCCCGGAAACCGTCTTTTGGAGACCTGGTGTTTCTCCTGACTGAAGAGTCTGGCCTGTTCCCAACTCCGGTGCATGTTTGATTTGATGGTGCTTGTTATAGCCGATGTTCTGGTGGTCAGTGTGCCCTGTTTGAGAGGATAATCCTGGACTTTCCCTCCCAAGGTTACACGAGAGACAAGTCCTTCCTGGCCATGGTGGTGGACATCGTCCGGGAGCTGAAGCAGCAGAACTCTGAGCTCGTGTATGGTGAGTGCCCAGTTAGGCTGCCCCTCCCCTGCTGCCCCACTCCCACCCCCAGGAAAAGGACAGCTCAGCCTCCTGTCTTCTGGTCATGTCACTTCCAGCTTGGCCTCTACCTATCAGTTATTTGACCCGTGGGGCCTCTAAGGAGAAGTCTAGTGGGCTGGCTCATCAGGAGGATTGGGGAGTTTTTCAGGGTGACCCTAAGGGTTTCACATGGGGTGCTCGAGAAGGGAGGGTTAAGTATGTGTAAAGGCCTGGGGTGCCCAAGAGGTTTGAGGTCTGACCCTAAAGATGTAGATTGGGCCGATACCCAAGGCAGGCCAAACTAGTGTATGACGGGGAGGAAGAGCATCGTATCTAGTTTGTCCACGTAGAGAATGGGTGGCACTGCCTTGGCTGCCAGGCAGTGATTGATGGGTCCACATGCCACCCAGAGCAGAGGCAGTGTTCAGACTTGTAGTTCAAGGCTGGATCCTGAGGACCCGGCTCCCACCTGTGCGTGGTGGACCGTTGGCCCAAAGGAAATGTGCTTGAACCTGGGAAGATACTGGGACACCCAGGTTTAGTATCCTCCCAGCCAGGCCAGATCACCATGCCAGCTCAGGTGACCTGGGGTCATGTGTCCTTGAGACAAAGGTGTGAATGATGGGAAATTATATGTGAAATTATCCCGAGGACCTAACTGTCTTGGACAGAAAGGCTCAAGGTTCAGGGAACACATTGTTCTTGTATGTTCCATATGTAGGTAAATTTTCTAAACATTACATAGTAGGGATGTGGCTCAGTTGGTTGCGTGCTTGCCCAGCATAAGTGAAGCCCCGGGCTTAATCCCCAGTTGCACCGAAACTGACTGTGGAAGTATGCCTCTGTAATCTCAGTACTCAGAGGATCAGAAGTTCAGGGTCAGTTTAGCTACGTAATGAGTTCGGAGCCAGCCAGGCCAAATGAGAACCTATCATCAGTTAAAGGTGTATACTTCTCTTGCAGAAGGCCAGAGTTCAGTTCCACTCTGGTAGCTCACAGCCGCCTATAAATCCCACTACAGGCGAGCTCATGCTCTCCTCTGACCTCCTGGGCATCTGCACATATGGAGCACACACGTACATACATGCAGACACACACCCCGGCATTTTGAGAGGAAGTTAGATAAGGAGCCGGGTGTGCTGGGCGTGCCTGCATCCTCAGAAGCTGAGGCAGGAAGATTGGGAGTCCAAGGCTAGCCTGGGCTACACAGTGAGAACCTGCCTCAAGAACGGAAACAGAAGGAAAAGCAGACAGTGTGCAGGTCTGTCGTTGGAAGCTCCGGCAGTTGCTGACTGGATGCCGTGTCCCCGCAGTGTGTGATCCTGTGATGGGCGACAAATGGAACGGCGAGGGCTCCATGGTGAGTGCACTCATGCTGCTGCTAAACGTGGGGTCCTCGAGGAGGGTCACCGTCCCCAGGTAAACCAGTGTGACCTCCATACAAGTGGAGGACAAGTGTCAGATGTGTGTCATCCACGTCCGACTCGGCTATCCCAAGGCAACCACAGCCTGCCAGCAGCGGGCGAGCTGGAGGTCAATGTCCTATGAGTTTCTCCTGCTTTGGAAGGTTTTTCCCAAAAGCCTGTTTGGAGGCTTGAGCAGGGGAGAGGGTGTAGTCATTTCCCCTTGACTGCAGGACAGTACTCCTCTATCCAGGAAAGGCACCCTTCTGAGCATATAGGAAGCAGACAGAGAGGAAATGGACACCTAGCCAGCCAGGTCGGCCTATCCACGCGACAGATGTCACAGCCAGATCACCTTCTCATACAAATGTTTTTGTTTTTTTCCTTCCGCCGGTTTCCCCTTAACCAATTAACACTGAGGAAGTCACCCTGCGCTCGTGAGTCATTCAAAGCAGGCAGTGGGAGGGTCAGACTCCCTGAGTGAAACATCACAGAAGTCTCTTCGCTGTGCAGATGGGAGGGTGGAGCGAAGGCCTCTGGGCTCCAAGTCAGTGTTTTTACACGCAGACTACCTGGCGTTGCCTCCTTTGGTGGCTTTGGACTGTCTGACTACTCCACGTGATTTTCCCAGCACAACAGGCCACATGCCATTCTACCCCAATGTAGCTCTCACTAGACCAGTGTCCTTTCTGCCCTGCCAGGCCAGTAAGGGTCACCTCTTGTCTAGTTTGCTCAGTGGCTGTCATTCCCTCCTCTTTCTCCAGTGCCTATTTTCTGTAAGATTCCCCACACCAGACCCCCACCCCTCCTTTCTTCCTGATGGCTGCTTGCCGCAGTGTGCCTAAAGAGCTCTTCTTCGGGCTCAATGTTGCTGTGGTGTGCCCCTGTTTTGATGAGTGCCTTTCTCCCAGAATGCCTGGGTTTAAGATATGTGTTAACTTCAAACAAGCAGGAAGCCTGTTTCTCAGATGATCGGTTTTGTTTGTTTTTGTACTGGGAGTCAAACCTGGGGCTTCTCACATGCTAGCCATATAAATGCCTTGCCACTGGGATGTGTGTCAGCCATCAAACACAGCAGTGAAAGAGCCTTTTTTTGGTATCGTGGTCAGACCTGTGTCTAGGGGTTTCACTGTGTAGGCGGCCCCATCCATCCGTAGCCCTTCTGCAGTGTGTGCTAGCCAATGGTTGTCCATCTGAGTAGGACCTTGTGCCTCTCAAGGAAATTCCTCAGCAACTGGAAGGGCAGAGATTGGAACCATGCACCAGTGCTGCAAAGCATCGTGGGAACAGACACTTATTTTACAGCCTCACGTGAGACTCGGATGTCAGGAACCAGACATGGCAGTGGGCATCTGGAATCCTAGTTATGTGGGAGGCTGAAGAAGGAAGAGCACAAGGTTGAGGCCAGCCTGAATCCAAATTTTTAAAAAGAAGCTTGGAGGTGAAGATCATGCTTGCACGAGGCCCTGAGCCCATCCGCAGCATGGAGATAATAAAAAACAAAAGCTAAAGATTTTTCTGAGGTGGCCTTGGTAAATTATATCTGTGATCCCGGGACTTGGAAGGAGACAGGAGGATTCCTGTGAGTTCTAGGCCTGCCTGGGCTACAGAGTATTGAACCTGTCTTAGTAAAAAGGAGGGGTCAAGGAAGAGTACCATTCTGTACTGAATTCTTCATTGATAGCTTAAATAAAAAAATGAGCCATTCAGGCTGGGTGTGGTTACCCATCCCTTTGATCCAGGCCCTCTAAAGGGAGGCAGAGGCAAGTGAGTTTGAGGCCAGCCTCTGTCTACAAAGTGAGTCCAGGACAGCCAGGGCTATTACACAGAGAAACACTGTCTTGAAAAGAAAAAAAGAGGTGCTCACGTATGTGTAGGCTCACAGGCATGTCTTAGGTGGAAATGAGACGACCCAGGACTCATACTACCAGAGCCAGGTGGGCCCCAGCCCCAATGGCAGGTCGAAAGATGCCGCTTAAGTCCTCCTGTGTGGTCTTCTGTCTTGACTCCCTACTCCCTTCCTCCCTTTGGTTCTGGTGAGCTGAGGCCTTCCCTCCTGCTGCAAGCCCTTCTCCTACCTGGTGCCACCCTTCTCTGTCCCTGTCCCACCCAGCTCATGCTCTTCCAGTCCTCAGCTGTGCCTGGTCCTCATGGTGGCAATGCCAGCACTCCCCACTGGCTTTGGGATTGTTTCTCCACTGGACTCATATTTCCATGTGAGTGAGCCTCTTTCCTTGTCTCCTTTGCTCTCCAGTACGTTCCCCAGGACCTCCTTCCGGTGTACAGGGAGAAAGTGGTGCCCGTGGCAGACATCATCACTCCCAACCAGTTTGAGGCTGAGTAAGTAAATGCATTTTCAGAAGGAGCGGATGCCCCCAGGGAGCCCTGCAGCGCCCTGCACCCACCTTCACATATGCCCTAGTGCCCCCCATCTGCCCGCCCAGGCCCCTGGGTTGCCCTCAGAAAGCCTGGCCTGCGCTTGGCTGATCATGTCCCCCTTGCTCCTATAAACCTGTACCCTCAACCCAACAGCGGTTCCCATTGCCTCTAAGGCAATGACAAGCGCTCTTCCTTCTGGTTCTTGATTTATGATCCTGCTGGCCCACAGTGTCTCCCTGCTGGTAAGATGTTCCAGGAGAGAAAGAATTGGCGATACCTATCCAGCTGAGTGCTGGCTCCCGTGGCTAGGAATGCCCCCGGGGTAGAACTGCAGGCTACGGATGTCTCTCAGAGCTCAAGGCTCCTGATTGGCTGAAGCACCAGCTTCCAAGAAACATGCTGGTTACCCAGACTTACAAGGCAGGGTTGTGCAAGCCCTGCATGTACCCACTGGTGGGCATTTTTTACACTGAGTAGCTGAGGGCGCCAGCGATGGGCCCTTCCCAGGTAAGGGATGACATCTCTTTGAGGCCCAGGCAGGCGGGTGGCAGTGTTGGTTGGAGCTACCTGACTAACGCTGTGGGGGGAGTCACTGTGGGTGGTTGTAGGTGGCTGTTTCTCACCGTTGTCATCCATAGGCGTTCAGCACAGTTTGGAGCCTCACCCTGTATGTGAGTTCCCTTAGAACACATTTTCCTCTTGACCTTCTCCACCTCTCCCTGTATGTCACTGTCTCCCCCCGGTTCTTATGGCCAGTAGACACTAGGATGGCTCCCTGTGGGGATGTAGGTCAATTGCCAGGATGGATATAACGTAGGGACTGGCTCACCCCTCCCGTCTTTGTTCCAGGTTGCTGAGTGGCAGAAAAATCCACAGCCAGGAAGAAGCACTCGAGGTAAGGAGACCTTCCCAGGTAGCCCTGTTCACGGGGAAGGAGACAGGCACCCAGCTTCGGGAAGGGATGGGCACCTGAGGGATACTGACCTCTGACCTCTGGTGTGACGTGCACCCGGCCCTTGTCATTGACTGATACCTCTGTCAGTTCTACACTCAGTCCGCCTCGTGTCCCTGTCTGTGACCCTCGGCTACCACACCAATGCATTCTCTCACAGCTCTGGGGCCTGCAAGTTCAGAAGCACACGGGGTGCACTCCCTCTGGGGCCCCCAGGAGAGGAGGTCCTTCCTGCCACCTCCAGCAGCTTCTGCTGTGAGTGTACGATATTGGCTCATGGCCTCAGCCGCTTCATGACACAGCCGTGCCCCACGGTCACCATCCTTTACGGGACAGCAGTCACAGCTTTCTAAGACTCTGGGTCTGCGGTCCACTCTCTGTGGCCTCAGCTTATAGTATGTCATTTCACGTTCCGCCCAGAGCAGCCGCTGCATATGAAAGGCACTGAGTCAGCTCTGGACACAGTCTCATCCATTGATGAGTGCGTCAACGTGTGTGTCATCGTCATGTCCCAGCAGCGCGCCGATTACATTCAGTTCATACCACTTACCCAGAAACAAGCAACTGGCAGGCGTGAGCCACCCGGAGGCGGACGGTGGCAGCTTCTCACTGGCCCTGTGAGCTGCATGTTCCCAAGGCTGATAGGCATCTTTAATTGTTTACTTATTTTTATTTCATGCACATTGGTGTTTTTGCCTTCATGCATGTCTGTGTGAGGGTTTCAGCTCTTCTGGAACTGGAGTTACAGTGGTGAGCTGCCATGTGGGTGCTGGGAACTGAACCTGGGTCCTCCGGAAGAACAGCCAGGGCTCTTAACCTCCGATTTATCTGTATCTTACGTGTAAGCATTTTTCTATATGTATGTGTGCACCAGGTACGTGTCTGGTGTCCTCAGAGACAGAAGAGGGTATCACAACCCCTGGACCTGGAGTTAAGGACTTTTGAGAGACACCATGTTGGTGCCGGTAGCTGACCCTGAGTCTTCTTTCTGCAAGAGCAGCTAGTGCTCTTAACTGCTGGCTCATCCCTCCATCCCTCGCTGGGCATCTTCTGTGCCACACCCAAGCAGTACCATACACCCGTGTTACAATCCTGTCCACCCTCTCTGGCCTTAGAGATTACAGAGCGTGTGCAGTACGTGACTCCATGTCTGCTGTCTCCCTCTGCGAGTGGGCAGTGGCTAGGCTCACAGCTTGTCCGCTTGCATAGGCACCCACGCGTGCCCCCTTTGCACTGCAGTGCAGACAGGGATGACTGTGAGGTTTAAGGAAAGCCAGCTTGGGCCAGATGCCATGGCTCACAGCACTTGGGAGACAGAGGCAGGTGACTCTCTGTGAGTTCAAGACCAGCATGGTCTTCAGGTCAGCCAGGGTTACATAGTCTAACCCTGTCTCAATAAATCAAAAATTAAAAAGTAGATAGATAGACAAACAGACGAGTAGCAAAAAGGAAGATGAGCCAGCATGGAGAGAAGGTTCTCCTTGGTGGATATGATAGCTCCCAGTTCCTAAGGAGTTGGGGTAGGTCCTCCAGGCTTCCTCACAATTTTCAGACTCTCAGCTCTCAAGGCCTGACTGAAGGTGGTAGACCACAGGCCTGGCCATGTGTGTGCAATGTTCCTGGCTCTCTGGAAGCCCGTCAGGCACGCTGGCCACTCCTGGCTGCTTGAGCTCTGATTGCAGAGAAGACAGTGGCCGGCCAGGCCTGTCCCCTTGAGTAGTGTGACGTCAGAAGGAGCCACTGTGTCCGGCTGTGCTGACACTCTCCCTTGCTGCTGGCAGGTGATGGACGTGCTGCACTGCATGGGTCCTGACACGGTGGTCATCACCAGCTCTGACCTGCCCTCCACACAGGGCAGTGACTACCTGATCGCTCTGGGCAGCCAGAGGATACGTAAGTGCCTGCTCTGCCTGCCTTCCCTTGCTCCCCAGGTCCATCTGTTTATGTAGCTTGTGGCCTTCAGGCATCAGAGAATAATTGGGGCTCAGTAGGAAGAAGATTATGATTCAGTCAGCAAGGGATTAGTACCTCTTGCCTCCCAGGAGTGGCAGACAGGAGGCAGGCTCAGGACAGGCCTCTGTGAGCCAAGTGGGGCTGGTGGGGTATTGAGAACATGAGCAGATTCATCCATTCATCCGCTGCCACTCACTGGATGCTCAGGTATCCATGGTACACTGGAACCAACAGGTTCTGGTCTTGTCTGGTGGGTTGCCTTGGACTCACGGCCTATGCCAGAGGCCAGCAGAGTCTGGCTTCTGTGGTGCAGCTTCCACAGGGTATGGCTTTCTGCTGGGTTGTGGTGACTGGTTACACAAACAGCACTGTTTGAGCAGTGTTACAATGGCACTGAAATCTGGGTTACAGGCTAACAGGAACCCCCAAGTTCACACCCACAGGCTCCAGTGAGTATTCTGGACACACAAGGGTTTAGGGCTGTGCATCTAGGCAGCTCCTGGCATGCAGAGTGTTCAAGGCCATGCTGGCTTCAGCTTCTAAGGGTCCAGTGGTTCATTCCTCCTTGGGACAGTAGTGGCAGTGTTGGGGGGGGGGAGGTTGTCAGCCATGGCACCCCACACTGAGTCCCAAAGTTCCTGAAGGACACTACAGCACATCTGTGCAACCACCCCCAGAGATGGGCAGTGCTGACCGAACCTTCCTGTCACTTCAGAAGTGGGGACAAGTTGGGCTGACCAGTTCCCACTGCAGGGGTTATTCTTGTCCAGCTGAGAAGTCTCAGACCAAGTGGCCTGGCCTGTGTCCTCCCCAGGGAAGCCCGATGGCTCCACGGTGACCCAGCGCATCCGGATGGAGATGCGCAAGGTGGACGCTGTCTTCGTGGGCACCGGGGACCTCTTCGCTGCCATGCTTCTGGCGTGGACACACAAGCACCCAGACAATCTCAAGGTCAGTTGTGCTTGGTGCTCCTCTCCGCAATCCCCTCTGCACTCCTGGTGGGGAGATAGGCTGCTGTGGTTCAAACAGTGAGAGAGAAGAGCAGGGTTGGTGGAGCCTGGGCCTGAGTTCCAGGATCGGTGGGAGGAAACAGCTGCCTGTGGGCTCAGAAGCCCACCCTGTCAGTCTGTCCCCATGTTGGGAAGGGGTGACACTGGAAACAAAACACACGGACTGGGGATGTAGCTCAGTTGGATGCATGAGACCTGGGTTTTGACCCTCAGCCTGTTAAGAATAAAGTTCACACAAGGGTCAGCTGGGCCCATGAGGCCGTGGTGACCTAGGAGCCATTTCTGTAGCCAGTCTTAGCTACTTTGCGAGTTCTTCTATTCCCCAGTCCTTATCCCTCAGGTTTTACCCCCTATCACTAGATAGAAAAGGAAGGATAGAGGGGGGAGAGAGAAAGATCTCTGAATCTACTTTCTTTCTTCTTGTTTCTTCTTTGAGCACAACTACTAGCAAACTACATCCAAAGACCAGCAACCACCAACCCCACCTCTTGGGGCCCTAGTATTTATCTATCCTCTGAAAGGTTCCTAGAATTCCAGATATCACACAGTCCCAGAAACTGTCTGCAGCTGCCAAAACCATCCTTCTGCTAGAGCACAAGGCAAATCATAGATAGCTGCTACTAAGCAGCCCCCTTATCTTTAAACCTGGGAAAAGAACCAAAAACATATCCTTACAATATGTCTCTGTGTGTATGTGTGTGTGTGTTTTAAGAAACCAAAATTCCAGAATTCTCACTACATGTTTTTCAGTGTTCTGTCCAGTCCAGGTTGTTTCCTGCTATGAATCCACTGGCAGACTTCAGACATGACCTTTGTGGGGGGTCAGGGCCCTAGGCGGAGGATGCACACTGAGGCAGTCTATTCACCACGGCCCTCCCACCTCCGCAGTCCTGTCACGGAGATGGTTCTTTCTATGGTTGTCTCTATGTCTACCTGCTTCATGTGCTTGTGAGGAGATAGGGTGCTTTTGCTCAAGTCTCCTGGACAAAGTGGACCAGCTGGGACTGCGTTTGTACTAGGAAATACTCCACCAGCTGAACCATGTCCGGGGCTCCAGCAGGACTGATGCTGTGTCCTAGGGTCATCACTTCCGGGACTCCAGCGGGACTGATGTGTCGTGGGGGTCATGCTGTGGCTTTTCTTATACAGTGTGCACGTCAGTGTAGGGCAGAGGTGTTTTCTTATGGTTCTGCACTTGGACCTATGATCTCCCAGCCTGTGAGCAGAAAAGCTGCATAGTGACCAGGTGGTTTCTCCTGCTGCCCAGCAGCTCACAGCCAGCTTGTTCTCCTCCAGTGATGCTGAAGGCAGAGTTGTGAGGGCTGGTTCATGGCTCAATGGTAGGGCACATACCTACCACAAACAAGGCCTGGGTTCCATCCCAGCAGAGCAAACACACACACACACACACACACACACCCCACAGAACACAAAGTTAGAACAACCCCTATGCCCATTGGAGACTGCCCAGCCCTCAGCTTTGATGTCCACACTGGGCACCAGGGTTGCACAGCTGGGTGAGCCTTGCACGATTTAGACTGGAGGAAGATGGGGAGGAGCAGCCGTCACCTGGAAGAGGCAGTTAGATGTGGGGCCTGGAAGTGGGTTCCCTGGGGCTGTCCCACCACCCACTCCACCCCACTCTGACCAGGTCACTGGCCTCTTGCTTATACGACAGAGAGGAAGATGAGTGTCAAGTCCCTTGAAAACCCTAAGTTTAAGTTTAGAACGCTCACTCGCCTTGCTCTGTACTGGCTCTCAACCACCTGCCTCCCTCAGGTGTGGGCCAAGCCAGGCTTGCCCTGTTCAGATGGCAGCAGTGGAGGTTTCTTTAGTATGGGGCAGCAGAAACTTGGCAGCTGGCACCAGAGGAGCCTCACTGTGGGGCTCCCAAGCCACGCCCTGGTTCTGCCAACCCTTGTCAGGGAGCTGAGAAGTTTCTGGGTCCCTGCTGAGTTCCCCAGGCCTCTGGCCTTGAGCTGTGACAGTCAGTTGTGGGCAAGAGCTCTATTTTAGAGTCGGTAGAACTAACTATTCCCAGGAATTGTAGTGAAGCACCTACTGTGTGCTGGGTGTGCACGATATTGACAGGTCGCAGGCTGCTGCCCCGCCAGTGCTGCATCCAGCCACAGGGAAGTGGCTAATTCCATGTGCAGCATCTGCTTGGCTCTCTGTCCGCTACTGTAACAAAATACCCGAGATCCTGTAGAAAGAGGAAAGGTTTCTCTCTACTCATGGTTTCAGAGGGGTGTGATCCCGGCAAGATTGTCTTCTTGCTATGTGACCCATGGCTGTGTATGATGGCGGGATCCAGGAAACCAAAAGGAAAAAGAGCAGGGAACTACCCTGTCACCTTCCAGGGGCCACCCCCAAGGACCTAAGGACCTTGCACCAGGCCCCACCTCCTGATGCTGTCATCCCTCCAATAGCACCCCAAGCAGAGGTCCCAGCCTTTAGCATGGGCTTGGGGGACCTTCCAGACACAGGCTAATGCAGAAGCACCTGTGCTGGGGGTGCTGTCCTGCAGTCAACCCCATGGGGGCCCAGCTGTGTCCAGTGAGTGTGAGTGACAGTGGCGCCAGCTTCCTGGTGACTGAGGCAGCTGGTACTTGTGGGATAGCCTCTGGACAGCCCAGGTAGACCAAGGCCCTGTGTCTCTGTTGCCTCCACAGGTGGCCTGTGAGAAAACCGTGTCTGCCATGCAGCACGTGCTGCAGAGGACCATCCAGTGTGCAAAAGGTACCTACCCTTGTGCTGTGCCTTCCTGGGAGGTGGTTTCTGCCTGGAGGTGGGCAAGAGGGAGGGGCCCTCTCCCTGCCATCCTCTCCTGCTGCCTGTCAGAAGTGAGGCTGCAGGTGCAGAGACCCTTCTGAAGCAGAGACTCAGAAGTGTGGGAGGGGGAAGAGCGCCTCAGGTTCCATCCCCCCCACCTGCTCTGCCCTTCCCCATGTTCTGCAGCTGAAGCAGGAGAGGGACAGAAGCCCAGCCCTACTCAGCTGGAGCTGAGGATGGTCCAGAGCAAAAAGGACATCGAGGACCCCGAGATTGTCGTGCAGGCCACAGTGCTGTGAGGACCACGCACACTCGCCCTGACACACAGTGTGCTGGGGTCTCCGTTTCCGTCCCTGTGAAGAGCTGTAACGTCTGCCTTAGAGCCATGACTGAAACTTGACATTTTGTTTCTTCCTGTGAGCCGGGTCTCAGCCAGTCTCAATCGTGAAAATGTGCCATCGTGGTTGTTTTTTTGTTTTTTTGTTTTTTTGTTTTTTTTTAAGACAAACCTGTCGCAAAAATATGTGATTTGGAAACATGGTCCCTTCCCCAAAGGCTCTTGGCCTCTGACTGCCTCACAGTGACTCATGGGTGTGTGTAAGGTAGGTGGAGGAGGCAAGCCTGCTGCCTGTGGACCCCTCTGTTGGCCATGACTGCCATTGCCCCCAGATCCCTGATTGTGCATAGACTCTGCTTGTGCGGCACTGTCTTTTAATTGTCTTAGGTCTTAACCGTTGGCATCTGGGAGAATTACGCCAAATACCTTCATTGCCATTCCGGTCTTTTCCTTGTTCCTGCACTAGAGTCTCTGTGTCTGGCACTGCTGCTCTTTGGGTGTCCAGGATGTCAGATTTCTGCAGCTGTTGGACTGTGTGGGAAGGTTGCATAGCCTCATGCTTCGGGAAGCATGCCAGCATGTGGTCACTGTGGCAGGGACCTTTTATGGGACTAGAACATTCCAGGGATCTGCAAGCCTCCTGGGTGTCAGCAGGATCTCTTGTGAGTTGGGAGAGAATTCTGGGAAATTGACCAGCAGAGGGACCAGCTGCTGAGCCCAGAGTCTCTGGGAAGTTCAGGGAAGGCTGTCACACTGGTCTCTCGTGGGAACTCTCCCAGCCCTGAAGGACGGTCACTCAGCAGTGCACCTGTCACATGCTGCTGGGCACAGTGTATTGCTGCACAGGTGTTTGGAGAGACAGGGAAGGAGAGGCAGAGATGGCACCTGCCCCTGGGGGCATTCTTAGCCTCTGGTTCCCACTGTCATTAGAGGATGTGTGCCCGCCACAGGCGGAGGGGCAAGAGGCCTGCCCTTATGTGAAACCAGCTAGTTCTCTGCCTCCTTGGGGGATCTGTTCTTCTGCAGAGTACTTTGCACTGTGGGTTTGGGGGCAGCTCTTAGACCTTCTTAGGAGACTGTCACATTTCGCATCGCCTACTGCTCAAGGGTGACTTTCCTGCCTCATCACAGGTTGGGGTCCCTAATCATCACTGTGAGTGGGGCTGGTCATTCCTGACTAACCTTGATCTCGGCACCCACACCTAGTTCCCTGTACCTCAGTTCTTGAAACTTGTCTCTTCTGAGAAGCCACAGCCTGAGGAGAAATGGGAGGCTGGAGGAAGTGGAAAGTACATTATGCCTGCCCAGGCTCTCCATGGGTACCTGGCAGCAGGCCCCACGGGTGGCCTCTGAGAGCCACAGCCTACCTTCACATAGTTCCAGTGTGCCCTTCCCCATTCAAAAGCATCCCAGATAGAGGAGGTGCTGGTCCACATGGCCCCACACCGTCAACATTCTGAACTTCCTGCCTTTCTGGTCACAGGCTGCAAGATGGCTCCTTAGGTACAGGTGCCTGTTGCCCAGCCTGACAAGCTGGAGGACCCACATGGGGAAAGCAGAGAACTAATTCCTGCAAATTTCTCTCTCTGTATATCTCTGTGTCTCTGCCTCTGTCTCTCTCTCACATACAGAAATACATTAAATAAGTGTAATTTTAAAAATTACCTTGTCCATCAGTACCCCAGGACAAGATTAGCTAGCTGTCTGGTATGGCCATTAAGTCTGACATATGTCTCCCGGCCCCAGTGGCAGGCCTCTGAATCCCAAGACTTGACCCGAAAAAGGAAAGTCATGGCCAACAGCTTGGAAGGAAGGAGCCACCTTGTCCTACGGCTTGACACAGGAAGAGCCCATCCTGCCTCCCAGAGAGCAGGGAACAGCACTTTGCCAGCAATGAGAGAAACTTCTTTTTCCTCTTTTAAAGTGTTGAAACTGGACTAGGGAAATGGCCTAGCTGGCAAAGTACTTGCTACGAAAACAGGAAGACCCAGTTTCAGTCCCCAGCACCTAAGTGTGGTCGTGCAGTCTGCATGTGTGACCTCAAAACTAGGGAAGTGGAAACAGGAGGGTCCTGGAGCTCACTTGCCAGCCAGTATATCCAAATTGGTGAGCGAGCTCCAGGTTCAGTGAGGAGAGACCCTGTCTCAAAATAAAGTGGGGAGTGATAAAGGAAGACCCCAAAGGTTGACTGCTGGCTTCACACACAGTGAAAGAGCAGGCATCGGGTAGAGGACAGCCTGTCTGTGTGTGATGAGGTGATGAAGTACCCCCTGGCACTGGGTGGGGCAGTTTTATATGTACTGGGGGTCTTCAGGACCACAGTCTGCAGCCACACCAGGGAAGGTTTAGGTCTTTTGCTGTAGCCTGGAGCTGATGGGGGTATGGAGGACCCTTTCTTGCTTACACAGCAGGGTGAGTGCCCCCACAACCCACTGAGGACTTCCTCTAAAAGCCTGAACTTGGGTGTAGTCTGAATTGTCCTCCTATGTTCTTTGGAGCCAACAGGACAAAGGCAGAGGTGGTGACTCAGGCATGTGACTAAGAAGAAACAATCAGAGCTTTGAGCACAGGCCCTGGGCAGAACAAGGCTTTCCAAAGCAATGTCTGCTGCCCTGCCTGGCAGCAAGCTCAGGGTCTGATCCCCTCACATCCAAATCAGTGGCTTCTACTCCACTGTCCAGGGTTTAGTAGGGAAACAATGTATTTGCAAATGAAGCTGCATTAGCCCAGTGTTGCCTGCTTCCTACTAGGGATGTCCTTTGCTGCTGTCTGGGTGCCTCTCCCTCAACCTCCTGGAAGACTAAGAAGGAATCCTGACAGGAGTCTTCTTAAACCGTTGCCTGGTTCTGTGAGATAATCCTGTGCCTCTATCTTAGGTTTGCAGTGTGTTAATGATTGTAAAAATGACACCGTCCTGTTCTTCAATGTTGAGAGCCCATTTTTTAAAAAGCTGCTTGATTTGGAAGTGGCCAGGCCTGGCTTCACTGTGCTGAAGTGGGGGATTTGAAAAGAGGGGACTGTGTGCCCCATAGGCTACCTGAGTTTTCAGTGTGATGTCACCACAAACATCTGGGATCAGAGAACAAACAGGCCAGGGAGTTAGAGGTTAGACCTCTGTTGTCTTTGTTGAGGAAGGCAGGGCCTCTGGAATGGGGCAGGCTGGCCAGAGCAGCACCTGGTCCTTTGCTGTGCTCCTGGGCGGCTCCTGACCACGGTGCCCAGCTCCCATTACTTCAAACCTCACCTTGTAAGTATAGAACGAAGTGAATGTATTCTGTTTCTGAGCTCCTCACTTCCTTGCTGCCCTTTGAGGGGTCACTCACTTGGGGGCAGATGGTCCAAACTGCTGCAGTTTTCAGGTGCCCAGTGACCACAGGCTGGGCTGACCATGGCTTGCCTTGGCCCCCTCCATGCACCTTCCTTTTAGGATAGGTTATTTACCTGGACCAGAGCAGGGGACTGAAGTTTGCGTGGACAGTCAGGGACCGAGGCCTTGGATTGGCGCCCAGATTCCTTGTGCCCTCCAGAGGGTGCCGCAGCCCAGACCCCCATTTTTTTGCTGCCCTGCTGCCAGCCAGCAGGCTTCTCTTCTGGTTATCCAGGAAGCTACCTGCACTGAGAGGCCCTGGAAAGCCAGGTCTGTCCCAGTGACAAATGGATACTGAGCACAGCATCCACCACACTGTGGTTGATTGACTCCCAAGTGGCAGTTCTGCGAGTTCCAGTTCACTGTGAGTTTCTTCGTAGAACTGCAGATTCTGTAAGGAAAGCTGTGTGCTACGGAGGGCTTGAACAGGAGCTCAGCAGATGAATGAATGTCCCTCCTCTGAGGATCCTGAATTATTGAGGAGGGCCCTGGGGTGAAGGTGCAACTGAACATCCGTGTGCCAATCCCTGTTGCTGTTCCACACTTACTGTGGTAGCTGCAGATGGTGGCTGCAGGATTTACAGGTTCCAGTCTTGTGGAACCAGAGTTGTGAGATTTCTGGTTCCAGTTGCACACTTTCAGCCTCTACCAGCAGGGGGCGCAGTGGGGCCAGGGTTGTGTCAACTGCCCAGGCAGATGCTGGTGCCAGCAGGTTAATCAACAGTCGCCAAGCTGGGAGATTTGGTTGGTTGGTTTTTCAGTGTGTAAATCTTTCTCTTAGGATCCAAACTTTGGCGCCTCACAGAAAGTAGCTCCATGTGCCCCCAGTCCTGCATGACATTCCAGGAAGCCATTGCTTGGTCAGCCTGGCCAGAGTTCCTAAATATGGGTACATTTTGCAATATGTGTGTCTTCCTTTTGATTCTGGTTTATTCTTGTTGCAGACATTTTTCCATGCAGTGATTAAGATAACATTTTATATGCCAAATTTCCTTTTCACCGCTCCCCGGTGTGTGTATTTGCCTAAAACCACAATTTACTGATGATTTTAAAGTTAACAATACATAAAATTTTTACATTAATGGAATTTTTTTTTTGCCTGGCATGGTGGTATACACCTGCAATCTGGTACCCTGGAGGCTGAGGCAGGAGGAGAGTTATGTAGTAAGACTGTGTCTTTAAACACATACACAAGGCTATACCTAAAAGTTCTCGTTTTAAAAATTTTCTGGTAACATAAACACAATTTTAAAGACTCCCTCACTAGCTGCGCCAGGCAAGAGTGTCATCAGAGCAAGTGTCTCGGTCTCCATCTCATTTCAGGGGGATGATGGCAAGCTGAACTTCCCCATGCCCACATCTCCTCTTTCCCTCCCCTAGCTCACTGTCCAGCCATTTTCAGTCGTTCTGCAATGGGATACACATTTCAAGTGGGAGATACGAGCCTCCCTGAAGCCCAGGGGCCCCCTACCCTGCCCTGGTCAGCTCTTAGATAGCCAGTTAGGGCTGCCTCTGCCCTGCAGCTCCAAATGGGTGAAAACAGAGGGAGAGCCTGCCACTCAGACCTCCATGCTTGGAAGCTCCCAGAAGGCCTTGAGGTGTAACCATGACCATGCCTCATTCCCCATCCTGGACCCAGCAGACCCATGAAGGCAGGCTATGATGTTGGGTAAAACCATGTCCGCATCTCGCTGTCCATAAAGGCAGGCGGAGGTGCCGCCATCCAGTTGTGACCTGGGCTGGTGCTCGAAGCCTCTGAGCTATACTCTCTCAGAGGACCTGGTTCCTGCCTGACATGAGGGTGTGTCCTGAAGATGACAGGACCAAGAGGGCTAGGACATCCTTCTAGTGCCCCACAGAGCAGGAAGATGGAAGCAAAATTCCTTAAAAGCTCAGGCCTGAGTGATTCACACCGGGGCCATTTTCTGGATGGTGTTAGGTATGATGTCAATGTTTTTGTAAATGGAGGTGAATTCTTCAAGAACATAGCTCTTGAGAGATGAGATGAGCATGGGTGACATCGTGAGTGCTCTTAGCTTCATAGCTGCCTAATTCCTGACGTGGAGCAGGTCAGAATTTCACCCATGTGTTACACACCTGGACCAATTGGAAGATGGGCTGCACCTGTGGGGCTGGCCCAACCCTACCAGTTCTCAGAGACCACAACTCTTTGGAGGCTCCCAGCCTTTCGAGCAAAGCACAGTTGGCCCCACAGTCTCTGCTGTGCAGGAGGGGCATGCTCTGGGCTCAGGTGGTCTCTAGCCCAAGTCCCCCAGCCCTGCGTACTGTCCTCTGTCAGTGTGTTTGTACAACTTGCGCACCTGTCAGCACTGTGTCGCTGTGTCCACTTTGTGCTGGTCTGTTGACTCCTATGACTGTGCACAAATAAATATTTTCATTGCAGTGTTTTAGTGTGGTTATTTCTCCCCTCCCTGTCTCTTGTGGTCACTGCTCTAAATGGGTGTTTCCTAAATACACTCCTCAAAGGAACGGGTGTGTCTGGTGCTTTAGGGCCAGCTCTGAGTCTTCTGATCAGAATTCAGGATGTGAGCTTGGAGATGGAGGACTTGGCCAGGTTCTGAAGACCAGCCAATGGCTGTAGGTCCCACATCTCAGTTGCTAGTGAGTTCTGGTGTCACCTGGCCCTGTGACACTTGACAGTGACTTTGAATGCTGAAGCTTGGGCATACCTTGACTATGATTCACCCATGCCCTTAGAGCAATTCAGCAGGGGGCCTGAAGGTAAGGAAGGGCTGGGAGAAAAGATCCCTGAGGGGGCAAAACAAACCTAAAATGGTGACAGGTGTCTAGAGGCCAGGTGAATACAAATGGGATCTCAGCAGCAGCTTCTTCTGAAGGTGCCTAGCAATAGAGATCACCACCTTTCCCATATACAAAGCTGAAGCATCCTAGGTGTGTGCCTTTCTTCATGTTTGAAGTCAGAAGCACCATCTTCCATCTCTCGTGTCTCAGGCCTTCCTGCCTCCTTCTCATGTATGACACTGGTCCACTCAGCAACCCAGGATCACCTGCCTCCTGAGACCTTCAGTTGAATCCCATCATTAGAGCCTCTTTGCCATGCCAGGTACCATCTCTGCAGGTTCCAGAATATGGCAGTCTTTGGAGACCCTTCCTCAACGGGCCGCCTCCCGAGACAAGGATGAGGTAGGGTGGAGTTTTGACCTGGTCATCCCTGCCTCCTAGGATTTGAGTCAAGCATCCCACCAAGGCTCACAGTCAATCTTACCCAACTCAAGGAGTTTCTAGTAAAGAAGGGGAAACCTGGCTTCAAGCTCACTACCCTCAGGGTTTTCAAGTTGGTGCCTGGACCAGTAAGCCAAGGTCCAAGTGTCCAGTAGTAGTGAAGGAGGTCAGAAAGGAGAATGGAGGTGGCACAAGAAGTCCCCAGAGTTTGTAGTGAGCTGGACTTGTGGGTTGCTAGGTTTCATGAACCTCCGAGCAAGATCTGGGATTACAGCCCCTGGGTACAGTGCTCCTTTGCACTTTGTCTCTCATGAGCACTCTGGCACTTGCTGAGCCTGATTCTCACTTGCCAGTGTGCCTCTGACCCCTGGCTTGTGGAAGACTGTTCTCTTCAGCTGTGTGTGAGGGCAGGGCACCTGAAGGCCTGGCCAGTGCCTACTCTGCCAGACTTCCCAGAGACTTCCAGGGTCTTATCCTATCTGTAATGCCACCTACACATTCTCAGGGGGCCAGTAGGAGCAGGCCCAGCTGGTCACTGACAGTACTCCCCTCAGAGACTAACTCAGGCCCTCAATGCTGCCCTGCTTCCCTGTGGCATGGTGTTAGCCCCACATGGAGTGTCTTCCTGTCACGTCCAGAATCCAGCCAAGGAAGCAGGAGAAGACAAAGGGTGACTGGCACCGCATCTCTGATCCCTTGTTGCAATATAGCACACCCCACTGGTTGAGTTCAGAATGTGGCTATGCAATGCAACTGGAGGATCAATGTGAGTTCTAGATGCATGTCCCGCATTCCCAATGGCATTCCTGAACCTAGGGGTTGTCACTTTTGGGTTTTGGGTTTTTTTGTATGTTTTTTGTAATAAGGTCTTTTCAAATATCACAGTTACGATGAGAGCAGGCTGGATTGGAACTCTAGACTTATCCTAATGAGAAGATGGTGACTAGAGAACTGAAGCCTAGAGGCATGGAAATCCTAGGCCCCTCCCCTGCAATGCCAGGGCAATGGGCTCCTTCCAGACAAGGACGCTGTGGGGACAGAGTAGTCCCTGAGCCAGGACAGGACACCTGGAGGGGCCTCCAGCCTCCTCACTGAGTGAGAGGAGCACACATCTGGGCTGTGTATGGGGCACAGCTGGGGCCAACAGTGAAGGACCGCACCCGGTCTCTCCAGATGAGCCCATGCAGCCTCCCAGGCCACCACTGCTCAGCTTCAGTCAGAGAATAAGGTGTACCCATACCCCAGGATGGCTTTTCTGTGGCAGTAGGCATGAGCAGATAGGACGCGGCGGCAGGAGACTGGGGGAGGGCAGCCCAGAGCTGGAGGGGGGTGGAGAACACCAGTGTCTGTGGCCAGCAGGGCAGCAGACACAAGGCATAGGGAAAGGGCTTCTCCTGGCCTTCACAGGGCCTCTGGCCCTGCCCACTCCTGGAGTTTTGACCTTAGGCAGCAGAATTGTGACAGGGTAAGTTCTTGATGCTTAAGCCACAAATAAGTGGCATTTGATTGTGACTGTCTCTGTACAACATCTATTCTTTTTTTTTTTTTTTTCCAAGACAGGGTTTCTTTGTGTAGCCCCTGGCTGTCCTGGAACAGAGCTGTAAGCCAGGCTGGCCTCAAATTCACAGAGATTGCTTGCTGGGATTAAAGACATGTGTCACCCCTGCCTGGCAGACCCAGCTCTCCTTTTGTTTGGTTCGGGGTTTTTGTTTTGTTTGTTTGTTTGCTTGTTTGTTTGAGACAAGGTTTCTCTGTGTAGCCCTAGTTGTCCTGGAATTCACCCTGTAGACCAAGCCTGCCTTGGACTGTTACAAGTTCAAGAATAGCTGCACACTGACCACTCTAACAACAGATTTAGATTGATAGAAATTCATTGAGTGCTGAACAAAAACTGACCAGCCAGGGCCACCACTGGTCAAGGAGCCAGACAGTGACACCAGACTGTTTCTAAGGCAGGTTTTTTTACATGAAAAACTGTAACCAGGTAATAACCAGGTAATCAGGTATAGGAAGTGAGGAGGGGGGCAGCATTACATCATTTTGACTAGCTAAACAATAGATTTTGTTCCAAGCGTATTTTATCTAGGTAGCTAGACAAAGCTCTTTAAGCTGATTGGCTGGGTTTAGGATAGGAGAGCTCTTGGGGGCTTTCCAGCTTTCTGGGAGTAAAGAACAGTATGATGCTGCATTGTTTTTGTTGTTGTTGTTTGTTTTGTTTTTGGTTTTTGTTTTTCCTAGAGCTGAGGACCAAACCCAGGGCTTGCGCTTGCTAGACAAGCGCTCTACCTACCACTGAGCTAAATCCCCAACTCCAGGGTGCTGCTGTTTTAATTCTAACAGAATATACATTTATCTTTAACTCAAGAAGAACATGCATTTATCGTCTATTATTTTATTCTAAGCAGCAAGTATTGAACTATTGTATCCTGGTCTCAGGCAGGTAGGGCCTGAGAACTTGGACTTAATTTCACCTTATAATCAAAATGGAGACTTGGAGGCAAAATGGCTTCTGATATGCTAAAGGCAACAGCAGTGTTAACAGAGGAGCCACAGTTATGCTAAGATCTAAGGTCTCAACAGAGGGGCTACAGAGTTTAAGCATGTTAAGGAGGTTACAACAGAGCTCACAGAGCCTGCCTCTGTCTCCTGAGTACTAGGATTAAAGGCGTGTGCCGCCACCACCTGGTGGACCCAGCTATTCCTAAAGCTTGGACTTACTTGTGTCCAACAGCACACAGCCTTCTTGGCTTCTGCTGCTAGCTGGAGCTGGAGCTGTTTTGACAACAGACTGACCTCCCTCTCACAGCTCCCATGGCTCCCCACGGGCCTCACATCCGAACCACCTCCAAGCTGTACACGTGGCAGCTCCCAGCCCCAGGTCCACAGAACCCAGTTTTTCCTGCTTCTCTGGTGACCCTGAAGTCATCCGTGAAGAAAGTTATGCTGTCTCCAAGCGGCCCATTAGGACTCCTGGGCATGCTGGTAGTGGAATGATTCCATCCCTCAGGTCTGCAATTTTTTCCCTTGCACAACGGGCGTCCAATTGCAATTACATGCTTTGTTAGCCTTGGCTCGATGAGGATCTAATCTCATCCGATCGGAGGCACCTAACAGCACCCCTTTCCCGTCTGGGATGACAGTGCAGGAGGCTGTGGTAGCACCACCTGGCTCCTCTCCCTGCTGGGGGGTGGGGGGACACTGTTAACCTTCCTGGTGGCCCTGCTAGGGCTCTCAGACTTTAAGCAGCCCAGTGCATGGCTACTCCACTCATCTAGAGTAGAAAACATGGGGCTTGTCCCTCAGACTTCAGAACAGCCGCTTGAGAGCTCTGGGTCACTGAGGGCTGGGACCAGTGCCTACCACTTGGCGCTGAGATCCCGAGTGAAGAGCTGACACTCTTGGGATGAATTAGTAATTGCTCAATCCCCTACCCGCCAAGGCAGCGTGAGGGATGCCCGTAGAGGGGCTGGTTTCATGTGCTGGAGGCAGAATGGGCACTTTCAAACTTGCCTCACCACACAGGCACCAGCTCAGAGCAGCCCATTCTTGAACATGCTGGGCATCTCATGCCACCCTCTACCGCCTATGGTAGAGTGCCACAAGCAATGGCTTTGCTTGTTTCTTGAGTCGTTTGTTCCCACTGCCCAGGCAGGACACTCTGGGGAGAGACATGTCTATCAGAATCAAGAGTAAGGTCTCCATTCCAGGGCCTAGAAAGGACATAGTCCATCGCAAGTGTCCGGAGTGAGGGTGTGACTCTGTTGCCTCACCACTGTCCCAGAATGGTGAAGCTGGGGACCCACTGTTCCAGAATGAGCATCCTTATGGGTTCAGGAGCTTGGGCCTCCTGACCAGTGGCTTGCTAGGTCTCCAAGCCCTCAGCTCTGTCTATTCTGGGCGCACAGATCATTCAAGTGGAATATGTCGGCATTGTTCCAAAGGAATCTTTGAAGCCCTCCAGCCATGTTCAGGCTCCCTCGTTGAGTGCTCTTGGCCAACGTGACCCTGCTACCCCTGAGGGCTACTGCCTGGGCAGCCGGAGAGATCCCTCAGCTCCTGTGACCTCCTCTCCAGATCTCAAGGGGAACATGTCTCCTTTCACCCACTCATCAGTTCCCCACTTTTCATTGACACCCTCCAGACTTGTCTGCTATGGTTTAGATGTGAAACGCCCTCAAAGACTCTTGTGCTGGAGGCTTGGTTCATAGCAGGGTTGAGGTGCCTGGCACATGAGAGTGAGTTCATCAATGGGCTACTCCAGGCATGAGTTCATAGGTGAAAGGCCATTAGGAGGAGAGGCCTGGCTGGAGGAGCGAGATCACTAGGGCTATGACTTTGAAGTATATAACCTGACCTCCTTTGCCCCTTCCTGGCTCCATCTGCCTTCTGGTTAGCGTGAGGTGAGCCACCCTGTGCAATCACATGCTCCAACACACAGTGCTCGGCCATCCCTCCCTTGTTTTCTCAGGTGAGGAAAATCTAACAGCTTCCAGGATCCCGTGAGCACTAGGATGGCCTGAGGCCACGTTGCTCCTCTCACACTTCCTTCAGGAGTCAACAGCTCTCCAACTATCACAGTGCACATCCTGTGACTCCAGGCCTACCAGCACAGTACCCCAGTGATCTCCATTCTGTGTCTCCTCCGTTCTCTCTAGGGAAACAGTTTGATGAAACTGACCACCTTGTAGAAATCACTTTACCCGCTATCTTAGTTGGGGTTTCCATTGCTGTGAAGAGACACCATGACCATGGCAACTTTTTTTTTTAAGAAATTTATTTATTATTTATACAGCATTCTGCCTGCATGTGTGCCTGCACATCAGAAGGGAATGTCAGATCTCACTATAGATTGAAATGAGCCACCATGTGGTTGCTGGGAATTGAACTCAGGACCTTTGAAAGAACAGCCAGTGCTCTTAACCTCTGAACCATCTCTCCAGTCCCCGACCCCATGGCAACTCTTATAAAAGAAAACATTTCATTGGGGTCAGCTGACAGTTTCAGAGGTCTTGTCCTTTACCATCATGGCAAGAAGCATGGCACCATGGAGGCAGACATGGCGCTGGAGGAGCCTAGGGTTCTAGGTCTTGATCTGAAGGCATCCAGAAGGAGACTCTCTTGTTCTACAGTGGGTGAGCCTGAGCATAGGAGACCCCAAAGCCCACCCACACAGTGATGCACTTCCTCCAGCAAGGCCAAACCTCCTAAGAGTGCCCCTCCCCACGGCCAAACATTCAAACACAAGAGTCTATTCAAACCACCACACCTACTTGTTGTTTTTAACAAACTCTCCATCGCTCAGCTTTACCAATAGACTCAGGAGCCATATGCTGGGGTGAAAGCCTGCCAGCTCAGAGAGGCAGAGAATGCACCCAGCTGACCTTCCTCAGCTGACATCCCAAAAGAAGGAAGTTCCCTTCCCCTCCTCTTAAAAGCCCTCAAACTGAAGTCCCTCCCTTCTACTTCCTGTGTGTCTCCCTATCTATCCTCCTTACTTCCTCTTACTTTCTGTGGTATTTTTCCTATGTTCAGCCCTGTCACTGCTTCCTCCATCTCTCGACCTAAGGTTTATTTAATTCAAGCGGAAAGGTGGATTAAAGGTGTGCGCTAGGGCTGAGCCACACCACAACAAAGAAACATATTTTTCCAGCAAACAACATAATTTCTGGGTTCAAATTGTGATCAAATATCCTGCAACACCCACCCATGCTCATGCCAGGCCCTGTGTCAGTTACAGCTTTTATCCATGTCCTACAGTGACCTTGCTTTGTCCTGCCTGCATAGATAGCTTCTACTCCTAAACCCAGCTTCTGCCCACTGATTGCTCGCTCTGGTTGCTCATAGTCTGAGGGGATTCCCAGCCAATGCTGCTGATTCACCTCCCTGTTGGATGACACATTAGCCCCTGCTTGCACTGAGCCTCCTGAGAGGGAACAAGTCAGGGCTGGTGCAAAACAGGTTTCACTTTGCATGTTCTATCTGCCGTCTTTGGTGTTGGGGATCCAATCAGGGCATCCCCTGACTAGATACATTCTGCCTCTGAGTTAAACAGGTTTGTTCTTGAAGTCTTGAGTGGCACAGGAGGCACAGCCCATTATTCATTTTCACCACCACCTCCCTCCTCTCTGCACTCACTCCAGTTCGCTGGCCCAGAAACTTTCCCAGGCGAGCTCAGGTCATGTCGCTCAAAGAAGGGACTCTACCCACGGGGCCACTTCAGCTGTGAATAACTGTTTTTGCAGCTGGGGGTTAAACCGGAGCCTGGTACCAGTTTATAAACGGTTCAGTGGCTAAAGCGCTTGCTGTCATCCCTGTGACAGCAATCCCAGAGAGCCATAAAGTGGAAGGAGAGAGTCAACTCCAGCAGGGTATCCTCTGACCTCCATATGTACACAACAGCATGCATGTATGTGCTCATACACTGGCACATAAATGAAGAAGTTAAATAGCACGGAAGTAAAAACAAAACAAAACAAAACAAAACATTATTTGCCTTTTCTTGGCATAGCTACATTGCAACTGTGGGGGTTTTTTTGTTTTTGTTTTTTTGGTTTTTGTTTTTTGAGACAGGGTTTCTGTTTGTAGCCCTGGCTGTCCCAGGCTGGCCTCAAACTTAGAAATCCACCTGCCTCTGCCTCCCAAGCAATGGGATTAAAGGCATGCACCATCCAGGGGTGACTGTGATTTTTTTAAACTAAGGGAAAAATTCAAGACAAAAGACACAGTTTGTATAGTCTCTAAAAATATATAATATATTTAGAGAGAGATCATATACAGCTTTCTGAAAATAATTATTTGGACGAAAACAAAATACAGTGCAGTTTTGGAATCACAAAAGAAGCTGCTTAACTCCACCCCCTCAATCACAGAGGGGTATTTAACTTTGTGGTCCCAAACACAGATTGAAAAGATGAAGTATTTGGCAAAGGGGCTGTAGAATCAGAAGTAGGTCAGCTCATCATGTTTTTCTTTGTTGGTCTGGTAGGAAGACAGGGTCAAAGGCTTGTTTTCATGAGGGAGGGCTTCGAATACCCTCAGGTGCACGTATTTATCATCACCAACATCAACCTGGAAGCAGAGAAAGAGATGCCCCCGAGGGAAAGGTGAGGTTCCGGCCCCAGGCTCAACCCAGCCTTAGAAAGCTGAGTCTGGACAGGGCACCAGCAACTGGGCCAGTGATGATGTGATGCTTACCTCCTCCTTCAAGGCTGGGAACCCCAGCATCCCAAACTAACCCTCTCAGACTGAAGTTGCAGGACACTCTGCTCTACCATGGGATCACAGCCCCAGTTCTTTCCCAAGCCACTATTCAGTGCTCACCTTGATGAAGATGTTGAGGCCGGCCACTACCTGTTTCTTGAAGGATACGGCTTTAAAGACATCAAACTTCTGATTTTCTTTCTCTTCAAGCTGGGTCTTCACCTGGACAGTGGGCGAGAAGAGAAGGGCTCAGATTCATCCACAGGTGCCTCTCTCAGGAGTTTCCCTGCCATCTCTCAACACCATGTTCCTCATTGCTGGGGGTGTGGTAAGCTGCTGGCCCCTCTGATAAAGAGGAACACTGTACCTTCTTGTTTGAGACAGGGTTTCACTGTGTAGCTATGGCTGGCCTGGAGTTATGCAGTTCCAGGCTGGCTTCAAACTCAAGAGGGATTCGCCCGCCTCTGTCTCTTGAGTGTCGGTGTCCCATGACACCACACCTGGCCAGGGTTCCCTTTTAACTGGGCTCAGTTCAGTGTCAGGGGTGCAAATCTTTCCAGGCTGAGTGAGACCAGTGACAGACAACAGTTGAAAAAGGGTGGACATGTTTGACTTCTCTTGCTAATACCCTGAACCTCCCAAACCAGTATAGATTCTCTGCTCTGCTAACAGCCACAGAAAGGGCTGTCCGGACTCAGTAACCGGCTACTGAGCCTTCAAGTGTTCAACAGTCCCTTCCAGCCAGGTTCATCCTCTGGTTGCAGACTAGGGAATCTAAGCAAGTTCTGCAACTTTTGGGTTTTAACTTTTCTCCCCCGGGGCCTGGGAGGGGGTGAGTTCTGCCACGGAGTTATACAGTCCTAGCTCTTTATTTTAAGGAGACTACCACTGTACCCCAGGTTGGCTTTCATTAAGCCTCTTGTTTAGGCCTGGGCTTAAGGTAAGAGAAGGAGCCTCATTTTCGGGATAGCCTGGGCTCTAACCCTGAGAACTTCCTTCCTGAACTCTTAGGGACTGCCTCATCCCTCCACCGATTTCTGTGCGCGTTTCCTGAGAGGAGGGCGGCCCTCTTGCATGCAAGCAGCGGAGGATGCTGCTTAGTCCCGGTCCCTGAATGCCCCAACCAGGCCCAGAGTCCCAGCTCCCAGCCACAGGTGCGGACGGAAGCCTGCTACAGTGGGACCCGAGCCGATCTGGGCAGGCCAGTCCCTCAGGCCAGCGGGTCCCCGCATGCCCGCCTCCTGCTGGCCTGACCCGGGCCCAGCCTCACCTTGTCGGCGATCTCCTGCGTCTCGGCCGTGGCCGGCATCGTGGCGGATGGCGCACCACACATCATCTTGGCTGCAGTGGGCTGGGTGGGTACAGAGAAACTAAGGACAGAGCTAACTGGGAGCCCTAGGTGTCCCTACCCTAGAAAAACCTGGCTCGGCTCCGCCCCCCGGACGCGTGACACGTGACAAAGCGACGGGGCGGGGCGCCGCACCCTTCACTGTCATCACTCTCTGTTCCAGGCAAAGTCATGAGACCCGGACTGGGCGTGGGCGGAGGGTGAGGCCTGGTGGATACCTTACGCCCCTTCCCAGGATGGGCACCAAGTTGGCGGGGCGGAGGGGAAGGCTGGGATCCTGATTGCCCCTCAATGGGCGCGTGATTTAGGGGTATCTTTTACCCGTCCTCACAACGGACGCAGGGATGTGAGAGGATATCCCCTTCTTTCCGTGGAGTGGGTGGACACGAAGTCTAGCCTTGGCCATCTCAGTTCCGCCTTGCCCAGTGGACATAAAGTGGGGGCTGTGTGGGTCCCTATCCCTTCTTCCTTGGAGTGGGCACAAAAATAGAGAAGATGAGCCGGGCATGGTGGCGTACACCTTTAAGGAGGCAGAGGCGGGTGGATCTCTGAGTTCAAGGCCAGCCTGGTCAGCCCAGCCCGGAAAGCCGGAGCTATTACTTACAGAAGCCCTGTCTGGAAAAACGAAACAAAAACGACCCGGTTTCCCCCTGGTGAACTGAGTTTTCCAGTCCTGATAACCCCAAGAAATAAGAGTTTATCTGGAAATCCGATTCTTTCTGAATGAAATGGGTGTGTGAATAGCCTTGTTGGACTGCAGGAGATTGGGGATCCCAACCCACCACCGGGCACAGAGGTGGGTGGGCCAGACCCGACTTTTAGCCCAGCACAGGCTGGGCACCGTGAGGACCCCTAGTACGGCCACTGTGAGTGCTCTTGCTTGAGTGACCGTCAGGCCCAGTTCCCTTGCTGCTTGTGTTTCCATCTGAAAAAACAAAACAAAACAAACAAACAAACAAAGCAAACAGAATTTAGTAACTGGATAAGATGGCACACACCTGTTATCCTGACACTTGAGAGGCTAAGCAAGCTAGCCTGGCTACACAGTGAGACCTTGTCGGAAAAAAAATGAAAATGATTTGGGGCTGCAGAGGTAGGAAAGTGCTTGCCACTCAAGTATGGTGTGTCAACCAGAATTTTGGTCCCCAAAACACAGTTAAAGAGCCTAGTGAGGGGCTGGAGAGACAGCTCAGCAGTTAAGAACATTAGCAGCTCTTCCAGGGGACCCTCTTCAGCTCCCAGCACCCACAGAGTAGCTCACAGCTATCTTGTATGAGCTCCAATGCCCACTCTGGCCTCTGTGGGCACCAGGCATACAAGTGGTTCCCAGACATACCTGCAGGCTTGTGGTGTGGCAATAAACCCAAACTAAGATAGATGTTGATACCAGGGGCTGGAGTATTGCTGTGATTGACCATGTTTTGGTTGGAGGAATGTGGACTTGGGGACTTTGGATTAGAAAAACAGTTGCATGATTTAGTGGGACTTACTGGGCCATAGGAGTAGGAACATGGAAGACAGTGGTGATGAGGGTGATTTGAAATTTGGAGGCCTGGCTCAAGAGGTTTCAGAGGACAAGAATATTTGTATGTGGCCTAGAGACCATTCTTGTGATGGTGGCTTCTTTTATTTTTTCTTCTTGTCCAAAAAAGTTTTCCTGAGGTTAAATTGAAGAGTTTTGGATTAGTTGCATGGGCAGAGGAAATTTCAAAACAGCCTAGTATTGACTATGTTGTGTGGGTATTAGCATCCGGTCTTATGAAGATCTATAATGAAAAGGAGGAAGCGGAGCAAGGAAAATTACAAATGTATGATTCAAGGAGAAAAGGGGCACCAGAAAGTGTTCAAGGAAATAAACTAAAGAAAAGCCAGATGTTAAATGAAACAAAGGGAGTGGCGACTTCAGAACAAGATCCTACCCAGCTAAGCTTCCAACCTGTGAAAAGGAACTAAATGAAAGCTTAGAGCTGGGCATGGTGGGGCGTGCCTTTAATTCCAGCCCTAGTTTGAGGCCAGCTGAGTCTACAGATTGAGTTTCAGGACAGCCAAATTTAGGCAGTGAAGGAAACCATTGAAAACAGAAAGCTGGTGAAGATGTAATTGAACAAGAAGGCCATATTCCAAACCCAGCAAGCAGTGGAACTGGGCAGCTTTGGTCATGTGGTCCAGGCTTTAGAGTCAAGGATAGAAGAAAGGGATTATGGAATCTCCCTCTGAGGATAAGGAAAGTCGCTGAGGCCGACATACTTCAGGGGTGTCCCTGCATGGAGGCCTAGAGAGGCCACTGTGTGAACCTGTAAAGGCGAAGCCTGAATTGCTTTGGAGAACCCAAGATGTTAGAGATGTCAGAGCCATGGGATAGCTTCTGAGAAAAGCTGCTAACAAGGAGTGGAACCAGCCCAAGAGAAAGAAGTGTGTTACAGTCAACAAAGCTGAAAGGAGTTAAAGAGCTGAAGAACACTTTGATATTGACATGGAGACGCAGTTTGGAGTTTGCCCAGCTGGTTTTTGGTCTTGCTTTGGTCCCCACTTTGCTTCCTTTCCACACTTTTGGAATGTTTATGTATATATCCTATGCCAGTATGTGTTGGAAGCATGTGATCTGCTTTCTGATTTTGATTTTACAAGGGATTACAGTTAAGCATTACATGAGTCTCGGGAGATACTTTGAACCTCGGACTTTTAAACATATTTGAGACTGTTACAGACTATGAGGACTTTTGCATTAGGATATGGCTGTAAGCCTATGGGGGCCAGGGAGTGGAATGTGGTGGTTTAGAAAGAAAAAGCCCCCATGGGCTTGTAGAGATCCTCCTGCTGCCTGCGGATCAAGATATAGAACTCTCAGCTCTTTCTCCAGGACCATGTCTGCTTGTTTGCCACCGTGCTTCTTGCCATGAGGATAACGGACTAAACCTTTGAAACCCAAGTAAATATTTTCCTTTATAAGAGTCGCCATGGCTGTGGTGTCTCTTCACAGCAATAAAACTCTAACTAAGACATGGACAAAACACCCATACACAAAACAAAAACAAAAACAAAAACAACCCGAGACAGGTGGGATGGTTGACACTTATAATTTCTGCACTGAACATGAGGAGACAGGTGAATCCCTAAGGATGACAAGACAGACAGCCTGTGACAATGAGCCAGATGCCCGGGAGAGAACTTGTCTCAAAAAAATAAGGTGGACATCTCTTGAGGAATGACGCTTGAGTTTGAATTCTGGTCTCCATGTGCTTGCTTTCACATTTGTGCCCACACATGTACATGTTGGGGGTTGGTCTGGTGATATGTATTCTAATGCTAAATAATGTCCCCCATCATCTGGTTGCTATCCAAATGAGCACATTTTCATTTACACCAAGAGATGTTGTGTAAACCTTACTCCCCAAACTAAAGCTAGTTGGTTAATAAAATTAGCTAGGAGCCTGTAACTGGGCAGAAGAGAAGTAGGCAGGGCTTAGATTCCTGGGCTTGGGATCCAAGAGGAACCACCATGAGGCCGGAAGGAGAAGGAGGAAACAGATAATGTAGCAGGAGGAGAAGCCAGAGAGAAGGAAGTGGCCATGGGACAGTAAGGACCATGGGCACATGGCCGTGAGGGCTGGCCTGATGGAACAGAAACAGTCTGGACAGGAGCAATTATGACAAGTAACTTGGAGTATGTAGCTGGGAATTAGCAAAACAGCTTACAGGGTTGATATCTGCCCAGTTGTGATGCTTTAAAGCCTTTATAAATCATAGTCTCTCTATCTCGATTACTTGGGACCTAATTGGGGTAGAGAAGCCCTCTAGAGTTTAATGTTGTTTCAATAATACATACACGAATGCACACACATAACAATAAAGACTATTGGAGATTAAATTCCAGCCTCAGTAATAGTTCTGTTTGGGAGAAAAAGGAGGAAGAAGTGTTTAACCAGTTAAGGGTTTATTGATTACCTCCTAGTCTTCAGTAGCAAGGGAAACGATAGGAAATAGGGGCCCAGCATCCTGCAGAGTAGGAGGCATGTAGGCCAATTAGAGTTCTGCCTCCCATGCTGGGATTGCACTGAGTTGGCTGGCAAGGGACACCACATGAAGCAGACAGTGACTGTTCTGGGGCCCCTCTATGTGAGCCATCTCTGAGGGGGCGGAGGGCTCACAAAAGGGGCAGGTCAAAGGAGGAAATGAATGCATTTTGTTTTTTATTTTTCTTTGTGCGTGTGTACCCACAAATGCATGTTTATATGTATGTGGGTATACTCTGTACATGTGTGTTTGTGTGCCCATGGGAAGGCCCAAGGTAGATGTCCAGTGTCTTCCTCGAACTGCTCAGTGAGGCAGGTTCTCTCAGTTCTCTCAGAGCTCACCAGCACAGCTAGTCTAGATAGCCAGCTTGTTCCCCAGCTACTTTAAATGCCAGCGTGCTTCAAGGGGCTCTAACCCATCTCCGCCTCTGTGCCCTGTGAGAACCATTATGCCCAACCAGCATGCATTATAGAGATCCAAACTCTGCTCCTCACACTTGGTGCAGCGAGCACTTTCACCTCTGACCCATCTCTGCAGTCCCTGCTTCTTTTTTATTTTGATAGATGACCTCAAAGTGTAGCCCAGGCTGGTCTTGAACTCAAGCTGTTCCTGCCTCAGCTTCCTGAGTCTGGAGACCGTAGGTATGGGCCAGCAAGAAGGGTTTGTTTGTTTGTTTGTTTGGTTGGTTGGTTGGTTTTGTTTTTTTTTTTTCCAGATGGGGTTTCTCTTTGTAATAGTTCTAGGACTCAATTTGTAGACCAGGCTGGCCTGGAACACATAGAGATCCATGTGACTCTGCCTCCTGAGTGCTGGGATTAAAGGCGTTCACAGCCACACCCGGCCCAGTGGGACGTTTTATGCCATCACTGCTATGAACTAGAGAAGGGTAGAAGTTTTGTTTTAATTTTAGAAATGTGGAAGGAATCAGGAGAGGAAATGTGGACCACAGAGGGGTAGTTGCCTTCTTGGCGACACTTGCTGACTGTGATCCTCACAGCCTCAGACTGCAGTGTGGCCTGGTGGTTTGTACCTTTGGGATTCCCCTAGCAGACAGGCAGCTCTTTGTTGGTGCTGCCTTGCAGGTGCCCACGCTTTCCCTGTAGGAGGTGAGCACCTGTGGAAATGGACAGGTCATCCCCAGGGAAAACAAGTAGGGCTGTTTATCCTGGTGGGAGGGAGTCAGTGTGTCATCCACGTGGGTGGAGACAGAGGCCAGCTGGAGAGGGAGACGTGTCAGGACTAGAACTGGCCCTAAAAAGCTAGATTCCTTGCAAAACACCAGTGAGCTGTACCCCAGGCTCTTTAATTTATTTCTGGTTTTTGACACAGGGTTTAAATTGCTTAGGCTGGCCTTGAACTCATTTACCCATGTGAATTGGGTGGAACTGTACTTAGTTATCGATATCATCCATGGACTTTGGATTCTCCAGCCTCAGCTTTCTCAGTAGCTGGGATTACAGGCCTCTGCTACCAAGCCTGCCCAAAAGATGACTTAAAGATTTCATAAGCAGGCTCTTGGTTCCACCTGCTTTCTTAGAGTTGAGCATAGAGAGTTGAAAGACAGGGTTCCTAAAACTCAGGACAAGCCAGCCCCAACTTGGCTCAATTCTGCAAGACAGGAAGTGGGTCAGCGTGAGATTACAGGGAGAAGAGCTTGGTGGGGTGGAAGAGCACGTGCCTTTCTATAATTGACATGGCCAAATGAGCCTCCCACAGCTATCTCTGCACAAACCCCAAGGCTGTGTCCCCAAGGCTGTTTGACAGAGAAATGGAGAAGACCCTTCTCCCCAACCCCCGAAAAACCAGCATGGAGGTACAGGCTTGCTATCTCAGCAAGCTGAAGCCAGATTGAGCTTTGGGCTAGCCTAGACTATCTAAAAATTAATGAATCCCTGCCTTGGAAGTGTACGGTGTCTGTAGCATTGGGAACTAGTTTTATGACCCAGATTCTTACAGATTAGACTGGACTTAGCTAGCTCGAACCCTAGGAATCCTTCTATCTCGACCTCCCCATTGCTGGGGTTATAAGCGCCTGCCATCCTGCCTGCCTTCTTTAGTGGCACTTGGGGATCCAACTTAGGTCCTCAGGCTTTGCAGGCAAGCACATTACCATAGCCATCGCCCAAACCCTATAAAGACCATTTTAAGGTATATTTTTATGTATTGCATTGCTATTTGGATGAACTTTCATCAGAGAGTCATACTAAAGTTCTTCTCCCGGGCTTGCTCTTTTTCCTTGTTTTTTGCACTTGTGACACGTCAGCCTTGGCACATGTGTTTGTCATTGTATTGCTGGCCCTGCCACTGAAATGTGAAGCCCCTTCTAGGTAGGGACCTCCTCTCGCCTACAGTGAGAGCAGTCCATGTGATGGCACACACCTTTCACCCTAGCTCCCGGTAGGCAGAGGCAAGTGGATCTACAGGCCAGGAAGGGCTACATAATGAAAACTAGTCTGGTGGGAGAGGCTACAGTGTGTGTGGGGGGGGGGGGGGGGAGAGAAAGAAGAAGAAGAGGATACAGGAGGATAGAGGGAGAAAGAAAGAGAGAGAGGAAGAAATCTCTTATAACTTTCTCAGCAGGTGAGGAACCATAACTCAAAGCCAGCCTTGGGGTAGGCAGTGGAGTTGCTCAGAGCAGCAGAGATAAGGAAGGACACTTATCTTCAAGTCCTTGCTGCTTCCTTATAAGGTAAATAACAGTGTCCAAGGGAGGCAAGCCTGATTTCTGAGGGGGAAGGAGGGAGGTAGCTAGACATGGCCTGTGACTTTCCCAGCCTTGTCATTTAATAATAAACAAGATAGAGGAATGATTCCATAGAGCAGGGAGGTAGACGGGGAGCCCCCAGGGATGAAGGGTGTCAGGATCCAGGAATTCCTTCCTTAGTGTCTTTCACAGTTGCTTCCGTCTCTCCTGAAGGCCTGTGATCCTGAGGATTCAGCCTTATCTTCATCAGACCTAAGAATGAGCGCCTCGCCACCCGGGGTGTGAGATGATATTTCCACATACAGAAATGTGAAGTGTGGCCACAGAGGAACTGTCAGCTGCAGTCCCAAAGAAGGTAGAATCCTGTGAGCACAGCAGCAAGCCATGCCTGTGTGTCCTAAGTCCAACAAGTGACGCCAGTGACAGGGAGCTAGAAAGCTGCAGGTCCCAAGCCAGAAATCATACAGAAGGAAAGAGTGGAACTGCCTCACCTGGAACCTATAAAGAGGAGGACACCTAATATGGGAGGCCCCTACTTATTTGTTATCTGACCATATGATGTATGTGTTGAGGGCCCAGCAGGAGACAACTCTTCTTGACTGTCCCACTTTCTTCAGTTTAACTTCATTAAATGTTGATGTATCTACCCATTTGTCCATCTGGACGAGCTATCGGTCTGTCCACTGGTTCAGTCAACTGGACAACTATCCTGCCCTTTGATTCTATAGTACCTCACTTCTATGACTTGACTTGACCCCAAGGCTATATGCTGACCACACAGCATGGCCTCCAATAGGGTCTTATCAGAAAGCTGAAAACTCAGAGACTCTTCTTGTGTCTATTGGCTCCCCAGTCCCTTTTGTCTTTGTTAGGCCTCTGAGACTCCTTGAGCACTGCTGTGGCCTTCTCAACCCCTTGCTGCCATTCTGTAACCTACATATATACACGTAGGGAGTGGAGAGATCCCTGAGTGAGTGAAGTCCTGAGAGTATACAGTATACTGTTGACATGGGTACAGCCATGTCAAGAACTCTAATGCCTCAGCCGCACGGAAGTGACGAAGCTTTCCCCAGGTAAGGCTCCTCTGGAAGAATGGCAAAACTTTTCCAGGTGTTCACAGCCTGAGACTGCTCCCCTGCAGAGAGCTTCTCTGGAGACTAGCTAGCTCCTCCCTCTGCATGTAACAAACAAGCTGAGATCCCCAGTTGCAATGGTAGTAAGTGTCCCCATCAGAGCGTGCATACCTTCTCTGCCTCCATTTTTCTGTATGTGTGTCTGTCTCTTATTCCTTTGCCACCCCTAGTCGGGGGCTCAGGACCCATGCCAAGCAAGAGTTGGCATATACACACTTGCATGGGTAGATGTATTTACTGGATGATGTGTAATGCATGATCTGACAGTTAATATTAGTAGTTTAAGGTAGCTTGCCTGAGTACTGGGGAGGCTTGGAAAATGGCTGCGAATGACACTGATGCGACTTATCAAAAATAATTTATTTATTTTTGGCTTTTCGAGACAGGGTTTCTCTGTGTAGCCTTGGCTGTTCTGGACTCACTTTGTAGACCAGGCTGGCCTCGAACTCACAGAGATAAGGCATGTGCCGCCGCGCCCAGCTCTACATTTTTTTTTTTTTTTTGTTATTCAGTAAAATCTGAAGTTGCGCACAGTGCAGGTTTGTTTATGCTCCTGTCATAGTGTTTAGACATGTCCTCTCCCACTCCTGTCACTCCATTCCCTCTTCAAATAGACTTTGAACAGCCATCACTCCACCTTCTCCAGCATCTAGCTTTTCAAATAAAACCACCTTCCTTGACCTGAGGCTTTGACCCTAGCCTATGGTGTGGCAATCAACTGGGAATGTTATGGTAACACTAAGTGCAAATGTCCACTGGTCTCGTGAGCCTTCCCAGCAAGTCAGTAGACTTGTCTTGGTTTTGGTAAAACACCATGATCACACCAAAGAAATCTGCAATTGTTTTCTTATCTGACACCTCAGAATTTAGGCTATGTTGGAAGTTCTCCTAATTGTGTCCCAAGTGACTATAATCACACATTTCCTGTACCAGGGCACACTCAAGTTCTGCACTTTCACTTTGTCCTCTCTAGTGTGTGTATTCGCCTGTCCACCTTCGGGATAGGTGGCCTGCTCCTTGTCGCATAACCTGAGTCATGATAGCTTTCTTGCTTTTCTCTGTCCAGGAAAGTGGATGCTCTCCAAGAGGCTTGGCGAGGTTGATTTCCCTGGGAACCTGGGCGTCAGGGCTCAGGTTAGGTGCTTTAGGTAAGGCTCGCAGTTCTCAGTGGTGTAGGGACAGGATGCTGAGCAAGGAGCAGCTACACGCAGCCCTCCGTAGCTAGGCATTGTAGTTAGGGACAGACTGGGCCAAAGCGAGACCTTCTTATAATGCAACCAGTCCTGCTGCGCGCTGTGCGCGTTTCCAGCGAAGAGAAGGGCGAGCCCAAGACAAGGCTTTGACCCTCCAAAGACTTAAAAGATGCCCCAGCCAGGCTTCCATGCTCCCTGCGGGCTGCAGTTACTCCTCCCGGCCACTGAGAGGCGATAAGCGGGCGCCAGCATAGTCGGGGATGTTTAGTTTGACGTTTGACGTTTAGCAATGTTGTGTCGCCTCAGTGTGACGTTTTCAGTGGTGTCGCGCAGGCGTGACGCGCCGCTTCGTCCCTGGAGCGTTCCAGCGGAAGCGAGGAGTGCGTGGCGTCAGGGTCTTCACCATGGTGCCTGGATTGCCGCTCCCGCCGGAGGTCCAGCTGGCGCAGCGCCTGGCGGGGAACGAGCAGGTGACACGGGACCACGCGGTGCGGAAGCTGCGGAAGTACATCGTGGCCAGGTCGCAGCGGGCTGGAGGTACGCGGGCGGGCGGGCGGCCTCGGAACCTCCGCTGCGTGGGCCCCACAGGGCCCGGCCTTCGCCTGCGGGTCTCCTGGATCAGGCGGCCCCCGTCGGACTGCGCGCTTTTCCTCCGTTTGTAGCTTGCTGGTGCTTCTCCAGCGTGTACTTAACGGAATGCCCTCTAGTTTCCCGGGACATATCTTTTGCTGAGTGGTTTCTATACGTTTAAGCCTCAGAGAGCGACCCCCTGTCGGCAGCCTCAGCATCCTTGGCTATCCCTTTGCAGATGTAAATTCTATGTTCCCTGAGCAGTGTTTTGGCAGCGGTCATGGGTATGTACTTTAGCAAGCGCCACAGAGTAGTTTTCCACGCTCCAGTTAGAGAGTCTTGGGGGATGCGCCTCACTGAATGATACTGATGTTCTTTGCTAGCCTGAATGAGTAACTTTTCGCTGTTTTATCTCTGAGATGTTACAGGAAAATCACAACTCCTTGGCCTAACACTGCGTTAATTATCACTGCGTTCAATAAGGGCCACCACCCAGTCCAAAAAATGTTGACATTTTGAGTTTAACCCTGTAGGGCTGATACCTGTCGTTTAGTAGCGCCTCCAGTTACAGGTATGGCCTTTGTGTTGCAGAAGGTTTTGGGAGGGGCTGGCTGCCCAGTTCCTCCACAAGAATACGACTCTGGAGTAGGTCACAAAGTCATGTTTCCTTCCTGGCTTGGGAAGGTGGGTCCCAGGGTCCACTGAGGCTCCCTGTTTCTCATGTGGTGCAGGTGGCTTTACTCCAGATGAGCTCCTGAAGGTGTGGAAGGGGCTGTTCTACTGCATGTGGATGCAGGACAAGCCGCTCCGGCAGGTGAGTGCATGGGGGGGCGTAGCTGAAGAATCTCGTCAGGAGTGGATGGTGGACTGATGAGCCTGTGTCTATCCGCCCCTTAACATGGCCAGAGACCTTGGGTAGAGTCACACAACTTAGACCTCTTGTTCTGTGTGGCTGGCAGGACTGAGGCCTGCAGTAGGAAAGTCCTGGCACTTAGGAAGGACGGGAGTGGTTGCCTGGCTTGAGCATCTTGGTGACATGGTGGCAAACCTTGTAGGCCAAGGTGAGCTGAAGTCGCTTGTCTCACGTTTAACCCTGCTTTGGTTGGAAACCCAGTGTTGATATAATGGAGGTAAGGGCAGAATCCAGGTCTCCCAGAAGGGAATTTCTCCTGTGGGCCTTTTAGAACAGCAGTCCTCAGCTTGTGAATTGTTTACGCAGTTGGAGGGGCCGTGTGCGCAGATTCCTAACCCATATTTTTGTGCCTGATGAAACAACTGTCGGGCTAGAGAGATGGCTCAGTGGTTAAGATCACTGGCTGCTCTTCCAGAGGTCCTGAGTTCAATTCCCAGCAATCACATGGTGGCTCACAACCCATCCATAATGGAATCTGATTCCGTCTTCTGGTGTACATAAAAACAGTGCACTTGTATACATAAAATAAATAAATAAATCTTAACTACCTCATTAAAAACAAAAAAACAAACGTCTCTTTAGGAGTGGTTCTGGAAACTTAGCCAGTGCTGCTGGGCAGTGCTTAACACCGAGAGACAGAAAGATAGTGAGTGATCCATGTGTCTGCTTGGCCCTATTTCTTGCTAGAAGGACAGCTGTGTCTCAAGACCCCTGTCTACCTTGCCACCATGTCTGAGGCAATCACCCTGAGGCCAGCACTGGCTCAGGGTGAGCCACGCAAGTTTATAGAGCAAGTCTGATGGCTTCCACAGAGTAGGCCTTTTGAAGCAAGGAGCCACGCAAAGCTTGGAGACCCTGGATAGAGGCCAGCTGGCAACTGGTTCTTTGTGTGGAGTGAATGGGCATTGGTATCGTTTGCTGTCAGAGCACAGCGCCTCAGGGCCTGAGGGTGCACTTCCTATTTCTCCTCACAGGAAGAACTAGGAAGGACCATTTCACAGCTCGTCCATGCTTTTCAGACTACAGAGGCACGTGAGTACAACATTAAAGCCAGGCCTGTCCCTATGGACACCAGAGTTCCAGAGATTCAGAGTGACCAGCAGTGTGTTCTCAAGACCTCAAGCTACGATGTGGTTGCTTGTGGTATGGAACACAGCCCAGTGCTCAGCCTGCACTCACTCAGTTTACCAAACAGACATGGCCCAGGAGTGAACGGCGGAGGTATAGCACATAGAGACCAGCCCAGTGTCGCAATACCACAGTCTTCAGCTGGGTTCCACCTGATAACCATGACTCTCATTTTCATTGCTGTTTCATACTGTAATTTTGCTACTGTTATGAATTGTAATGTAATTATTTGTGTTTTCCAGCAGTCTTAAGACACCCCTACAAAAGGGTCATTTGATTCCCAAAGGGGTGGGGTGACCACAGGTGGAGAACTGCTATCTGGGTGTGTTGTTACTGTGTAGCTCAGGCTGGCCTTGAACTCGGGAATACTCCTTTAACATCTCCAGGCACTAGTATCGCGGATGTGTGTCATGAGCTCAGGATATCTCTTTAATAATATGTTAAAGAGAAAGTGTGGAGCTCTCTGAGAACTGGCAGGAGAGTTGTTTTGCTGAGCACAAAGCTTAGGTGATCACTTGGTGATCTAGTGACCGGCCACCATGACTGGGCCGTCCGAACAGCCCTCTGCTGGCGTAGGATTTTATGGAACAGTATTTTCCTTTCTTGTGGTCCAGCACCAGGGTTTCCCAGGGCTGGTTCCTCCTTACGCATGGTGCTTTCTCTGGTTGAGTGAGGTTGGATACGGTTCACCCTCAAGACCCGCTTCAGTGCTCTGAGCACGGCACCTCTATTCATTCTGGTTACATTTTGAATTACCAAGGGTTTTGGAGCCTCTCTGTAAGATTGGGGGGGTGAGGGAACAGTTCAGACTCTGCCTCTTATATCTGACTCATCTGTTACCTGCAGGGTTAATGGATCTAGTTGGGCAAGTGCCAAGCATCTGCCTACAGTTCTGCTTCAGTGACTCCTTGCTAAAGGTCTAAGCTTGGGTGTTGGGGCGCTTAGTCCAAGTCAAGGCAGGGACAAAGAGACCTGGGGAAGACCTGTCCCCATTAGTCACTCCTTATCCCAGTACCTTGCTTCCTCTTTGTGCATTTGTTCAGACAACAGAATGACAGCTTGATTTAAGCTGTTTTGTGGGTTTTCTGTGGAGCCTGGGAACCATCATTTCTGAGCCCTGTGAATGAATGAGGGAGTTGCAGGCTGCCCACGAGGGACTTCTGCAGGCATGCTGTCCCTGTCCCCTTGGCTCTGGTGTTCATGTGTGTGTGTGCTGTCTCCTAGAGCACCTCTTCCTGCGGGCGTTCTGGCAGACCATGATCCGAGAGTGGGTGGGCATCGACAGACTGCGCCTGGACAAGTTCTACATGGTGAGGCACCAAAGTGGGTGACTGATGAGCCTCAGGGTGAAGGGGTCAACTGGGGCTGGTTTGGAATGTATGTAGCCACCATGCTGCTATAGCTGGGTGTGTCCCCATCTTACGGTTAGGAGAGCTCAAAGCAGGAGCCTTGCTGTAGCCTTCCTAAGTAGGGAAAGCCCTTGTGACTGCCGGTGAGCCGCACCCCAGCACATGGCAGAAAGGGGACTTAGACTCCACTGTCTGAAGATTCTTGTTTAGCTGAGGGGTTGGCTCTTGGACTGCAGTGTTGCTCCTGTTTGCTTTCTTCTCTTGTGTCATGCTCCTCTCGGCCAATGAGTTGCTTTCCAAGGCCCCTTTTTTTTAAAAATTTGTGTGTGTGTGTGTGTGTGTGTGTGTGTGTGTGTGTGTGTGTATGAGTTTTGCCTGTATGTATGTGTACCACATGCACACTAGATGCTCATGGAGGTCAGAAGGCATGAGATACTCTGGAACTACTTACGGATGGTTGTGAGCTATGTAGGTGCTGGGAATTGAACTAGCGTCACCTGCAAGAGCAACAAGTGCTCTTAACCACTGAGTCTTCTTTCTAGCCTCTTAGGTCCTTTTCATCTGTGTGCATGTGTGACCAAGTCTAGTAGCTCAGCTTGCAGCGGGGCTGACTTTCTTAGTGGTAGTGTAGGTAGACACCATAGTCAGGCCTTCAGGGTCCCTGGTGTGACCTCAGGCCTCTGGTGAGCTCTGTACAGTGGTCTTAGGTTCCATGTAGCCTCCATTGTCTTTTTACTGTGACCTGGATCCACAGTGGGCTTATGCTAAGATCTAAAGGTAGGAAAGCTGTATTAAACACTGAGCCATGTCAACGGGGAGTGGGCCATCATGGGAATGTTGCTGAGCCATAATTAATGTTGCAGTGGTTCAGAGCAGGGTTTTGCGTGTATCTCTCTCTGCTGGGAAAAGGAGGGCTTTGGTATGGCTTGGGGGAAGTTAGGCCCAGCTTCAGCCATGGCGTTGTAGTGACTCTGCCTTCCATGGGAAGAGCCCTGACCATTGTGGTTAGCTCTGATTTGTAGTTCCCACCCATTCAGGTTAGCCTGGCTTCCTGTTGCTCAAGAAGCCAAGTGCAGAGATCCACTCTCCAGGCTGGAGTCTTGAGGGCATAGTGTCATGTCCACCAAAATCTATCCTGTCTGTAGCACTCCAGTCATCCACCTTGGGACAGACTGGGGCCTTACTTTGTGGGATACAGGGAAGCTTGGTGACTTGTTGACTGTTCTCTTGCTAACATTTCTTTTCTATCCAAGCTCATGAGGATGGTCCTGAGTGAGTCACTGAAGACTGTGAAAACCCAAGGATGGGAAGAAAGGTAGGTCCACACTGAGAGTCAGATTTCACAGGCAGGTTAGGTAGGGGGTCTGCATTCTCTGGCTCATCCCAGGAGTCCTGGGTTCCTTTTGTGATTCTTTGCCAGGGAGGTGGCTTTTGTGTTTCTTGGTACAAGTAGTGCTGAGTTAAGCTATTTTTATAAAGTGAAATGGTTCAGATGATGCTGTCTTCTCCAAACTGTGCTATCCCAGTCATTTCTGTAGTCCGGCAGAATTATGTATGCTGTTCATAACAGATGTACAGCCAAGGGCCTTTTTTTTAACAGGCAGGCATATGGTGTGGGCAGCTGTGCTGTCAGTGGTCATATTCATCCAGCCCCCTTGCTTTGACCACAGTGCGTAGACAGGCTGGCCAGGTCCCTTGAGCAGTGATTGCCTGCATTCCTATCTGACGTTGACTTCTGTGGCAGCAGTGGGCTTCCCTTCCTCTGGGGTTCTGCTTCTCCTCCTGCCCTTTGGGAGACCGAGGCCTAGAGTGCTGCCCTGGGTGCTGCCTGCTCACCTGTGTCCCTGTGTTCTAGCCAGGGGCACCAGGTTCCAAGCCTGTGGCAGCCCAAATCCTTATACCACAAAGTGGGTTTCTGAGTGTTTTCATTTAACATTTGTTTGTTTTTAAATTTATTTTATATAATGTATATGATTGCTGTATCTGCATGTACACCTGTGTGCCAGAAGAGGGCAACAGATCCTAGTATAGATGGCCAATGTAATGCCAGGATCATGGGACTCTCAGAGACCATCAGGAGATGACTCAATGCAAGAGCAGGAGAGCTTTATTACAAGAGTGATCGAACTCGGGGTCCAAGTCTCACTGACACAGCAGTAGAGAAGTAGGACCCTGAACCCTGAGTGAAGAAGGTTTTTACAGTAAAAGGGGTTTCCATGACAGCAAGCATGGGGGGTTCATGCCTTGACGTTACAGAATTGGGTAAAAGCCATAGGGGAGAGGGGACCATTTACATAATCATAATTGCCAGGGAGATTGTCTCTGTTTTTTACTAAACATTTATTCTGTGAGTTTTCCTGGAGGCCGTTGCTTGGAGAGCTAACTTTGTTTTCTGCCAGGTGCACATTCTGTGATATTTCCTGGTACCTCAGTTCAGCTCCTGGTCAAGATGGCTCCTTATTTAAAAATGGAGTCACCCAGGCTAACTTAAACTCTTCACCAAGTGATTGCTGGGAATTGAAACTCAGGTCCTCTGGAAGAGTAGACAGTGCTCTTAGCTACTGAGCCATTTCTCCAGCCCCTCATTTAACATTTTTTAAAAAGTAATATTTTAACTTTTTTTCTAACTCCTGGGCATCATCAAAAACTCTTAATTTTTATTTATTTATTTTGTTGTTGTTCTTTTGGGTTTTTGAGACAGTGTCTCTCTACATATCCCTGGTTGTCCTGTAACTCACTGTGTAGACCAAGCTGGCCTTGAGCTCATAGAAATCTACCTCTACCTTCTGAGCGCTGGGATTAAAGGTGTGTGCCATCATGCCCAGCAATGGGAAGAGTAATTTTAACTTCAACAAGTAGTTGATTTGGAAGTTCTGAGAGCAATGCAGATGTGTTAGCAGATGTGTCTACAAGGTGCTGCCCGGGGTCTTTTTCTTTCTTTTGTCAGGTGATGGCAACAAGAGGGGAAAGGCACAGAAGAAAATTTACTTGGTGTTGTAGATGTCTGCATTAGAAAAGTTGACTTTGCATGCCTGAGTTCCGAAAGTAGCGCTAGTTGTCAGCAGGGAACTGGCCTTGGGCCACCATGCAAGATTAGGCATCTGCTATGAAAGCTAGAGCCACTCACCCAAGCCCACTGGGCTCCTCTCAGAGGATGAGCACATGCTGGGCTGTGGTGTTCAGAGCTACCCTTCTTCAGGGCTGTCTTGCCTCTGGTTTTGAGCAGTTTCTATTTCAGTCCCTATTGGAGACTTTTGAGACCTGTGGCTCTAAGTCATTTGAGGGCTCAGTGGCCAGTTACTAGTGAACAATTCATTAAGGCATTTTAAATTTAGTTAATGTTCTTTGCTTTACTATTAACAACTTCCTCATGGAAGGAGTGCTGGTTTTTGGAGAACACCCAGAAGAGGCCTGGTCCCTCCCTGGCCTGGGTGGAGCCCGTGTGCTGTGTTTGTCTTGTGTGGCACAGCCTGGCTCAGGTATTTTTCACATGTGGTAGTGTCATCTGGAGCTTGCCTGTCTCTAGTCTCTCGTTGGCTTTTGTGCCTCATTTTATCATTGGCGGCTTCTCTCCCTGAGCCTGGTACAATATCACTTTTCCTTCTTGTGGTTGGTGACTTCACTGAAGCCGACTGGGGGACCCTGGACAGCATGTGGTGCAGCTCCAGGCTGGTAGGAGTCTACACTGTCAGCAGCTCAGGAGCTTCATGTGTGCTATGTGCTGGCGACTTCTCAGGGCTCTGAGACAGTCCAACCTGTGTGCCAGGGAGAGTAGTGACAGTTGTACAGCTTCCTCATGTGGCCAACCAACTGGCTGTATGGCAGGGCCTGGGAAGCCCATCTGTGGCCTGTGGCCGCAGCCCTTGTTGGTGCCCTTCCTCTTGGCCTCTGGTCTGTTCTGACCTGACACATTTTTCCAAGTAGAGAGGACCAGCGAACAGAGCATCTCAGTTGCCATATTTCCACTTATGCCTTGAAGACACAAAAGGCCTACGTATATTCTCATGTTCTTTATTTGTGACCAAGAGCTAGACTCCTGTCATGTGTCACAGAAACCTGGGTCAGTAGGACTCCTTTGTTCTCCTCAGACCAGCCTCTGGCCTTTGCATGTGGGTGTGAAAAGTCAGGTGTGTTTGTGAATGGTGGTACCTGCCTGCATATGAGTGCTCCTGACAGAACCCATGTGGAGGGAGCAGGGACACCGCTGATCTGCATGGCCACTGCTGTTGTTTCCTTCTCTCTCCCCAGACGGATTGAGCAGCTACTGGAGCTGCTAACCACTGAGATACTGAAACCTGAGAGCCAGGCCCCCAATGGGGTGAAGAGCCACTTCCTAGAAATCTTCCTGGAGGAGCTGACCAAAGTGGGCGCTGCAGAGGTGAGGTGGGCTCAGGCGAGGTCTGTGGGTGGGGTGCATATGCCCAGCGCTGAACACACCTCCCATCTCTTGGTTTTCCCACAGCTCACCGCAGACCAGAATCTGCAGTTCATCGACCCCTTCTGCCAGATAGCAGCCTGCACTAAGGAGTAAGTTGTAGGCAGCTCCTGGGGTCTGACCTTTCTCTTCCCTCTCAGGCTCCAGGGGCCATTGGCCCTCCATGCTGGGAGAGTGGTGTGATGCCTGAGAGTCCGTACCAATGGGCTCTCTGGCTTCTCCTTCACCTCAGTTCCCTAGTTCTGCATAAGATTACTCGGAACATTTTTGAGACGATTGTGGAGCAGGCTCCCATGGCCATTGAAGACCTGATGAATGAACTGGATACACAGAGTGGGGAGGGTGAAGTGATAGATGGTGATGATGAAGTGACAGATGGTGATGACGAAGTGACAGATGGTGATGATGAGTCCTCAGAGGATGAGCAGGACCTGGAAGATGCGCCACCCAAGAACCTTCATGCAGGTGAGGAGCCCTGGTCTGTCCTGGGCTGAGATCAGGGCTCTTACTAGGTTGGCCTAGCTATCTCCTGGCTTTTCTCTCCAGAGTCCCTTAATGCATGGCATAAAATACATGCTAGGTTTCTCTCCTAAGTCTGTCTCAGCACTTGACTCCCAGCTCTCAGTTCAGTTCCTGGAGCACTCCTCTAAGGCTGTAATGCTCCCCGGGTGGCGCGTGGCACCCTGACCTCCCTGTTCACAGGAAAGAATCTACTCTGGTGTTGTTTCTGTTTTGGGTGGTGGTAGGGATGGAACTCAGGCAACTGCTCAAACCCTGAGTCATGTCCAGGCCCTCATCCTGCTCCTTCACCTGGGATTCTCTGCCTCCAACAGTTGCCTTTCCTTTGTGTCCTCAGTCCTGTCCTTGTCCTCCAGTTAGTCTGTCTGAATACATTGCAGCAAGGGACCAGTAAATAGACTGCACTTTCTTCTTGTAAATGGCCCCTGAAGGGCTTTGGGTGTGGGCCAGGCTTCTGGTAGCAGTGGGTCTGGCCTTCTTTTTTTCTTGACACTGTCATCATGAATTCTCAGGGAGTCCTTGGCATTGCTGCTGTCCTTTCAGCTCTGATGCCAGCTCTGGCAGCCCCCTTTTTGCAGGTCATCAGACACACTGCCTGGCCATCTTGTGTGTTTTCCCTGTCTTTCTCTTAACTTTCCTTTCCCGGCGAGTCCCTTTGGTGTCTGCTTATGGCTCAGCAGCCACTCTCCACAGCAAACCACGCTGTAGCTGTTGTCCTTCTTGCCAGAGCATCTCACAGCTCTATTGTCTAGAAGCCCTTCACCTAAAGGCTATGCTGAGTGGGTTGTGGGAGCACACCCTTATAGCCTTAGCACTTGGGAGACTTGAGGCAGGAGTGTCCAAGTTCAAGGCCAGCCTGGGCTATAAAGGGAGTGCCAGGCTAGCTAGAGCTGACGTATGAAGGCCCTGTCTCAACTCAGCTCCCCACTGAGAAGGTCTTGCTGTCCAACCTTGTGAGCACACAGCTCGGCTCAGTGTCCCGAGCTGAGCTAAGGATGGCTCCACTGGTCCCTGGCCTAACCCACTGCTGGGACACCTGAATCTGCCTTTGCCGCCCAAGTTGCCTACTGATTCCACCCCTCTCCTGGAATGCCTTTCCTCATCTCTGCACTATCCTGGAGACAAGCTGCTTATGCCCTCTCCAGCCTGTGCTGCTGCACGATCAAGAGGGTCCTCAGTGCCTTGGTGTTGATATTGGGGCGCTCCTACACCAGGCATGAGTTCAGGCTTCATTTTCTTTTTAGCCTCCACACACAGGGCTAACCCTGAGGCAGTCAAGGAGCAGGCGTGGGATGACGAGGAAAACTCTGGCCCTGTCCTCCAGGTAGGCATCCATGTGTGGGCTACAAGGTTGGCCTTACCCCAGGAGGAAGAACAGTAACAGGGATGTACAGATAGCCTTCATGGAGGGTGCCTCTAGCGGAGGGATGGGTGATGGGCACCTGGGCAGCTCTTGGTCAGAGCTGAGAAGTTGGTGCAAGGGCTAATGCAGCCGTGCTGCACCTCCGTAGCATTCCTTTTGCTTTGAGCAGGTGGCCGGCACCCCTAGGTGCGACCCTGTAATTGGGATGCTGGTCTGGAACGGGCTGCACAGGCTTAGTGGTTTGCATTTGGGTCATAGTTCTGAGTCAGCCAGGAAATGGATCAGGCAGATTGGAAAGCTCAGGTGTCAGCAAGCTTCAAAACCACAGCCCATCACATGAGTAGGTTTGCTATATTTTGGGTTAAATAAAATGTGTTGGGCTGTTTTCACTTGTTGTCTAGTATGGTTAGTAGAGAATGTAAAGTTAGAGAGGACATTAATCCCTGCACTTCAGAGGTAAGCTCTAGGCCTGCCACATAGTTAAGACTGTCTTAAAAAGAAAATAAAGTTAGAAAGCAGCCAGGCGGTGGTGGCCCACTCCTTTAATCCCAGCACTCAGAGGCAGGCAGGTCTCTGTGAGTTTGAGGCCAGCCTGGTCTACAGAGTGAGTTCCAGGACAGCCAGGGCTACACAGAGAAACTGTGTGTCGGAAAACAAACAAAGAAAAACCCCATTCGTACTTAATCAGTAAATAAGGGAATCCGATGCTTCTGTGGGAGTGTGTACCCCCGGAGCAGGGTGGTGAGGGCTGCAGGCTTTGCTGGAAGAATGCTGAGTAGGTTGGTTCAGGTCTGGTGGCGGGGCAGAGAATGCCTGTGTTGGCCAAGTGTCTCTTTAGTCCAGGGAGATGGGCTTGTGTGTTCAGGCATGTGAATATGACTGAACCTTGTATTTTGCATCTTTTTGAAACAGTTTGACTATAAGGCAGTTGCTGACAGGCTGTTCACGCTCGCCAGTAGACAGAGCACCCCTTCTCAGAACAGGAAGCGCCTCTACAAAGTGATCCAAAAGTGAGTCAAGAGGCCTGGCCTGCCCCTGCTGCGACCTTCATGGCAGTCCGCTGTTTACTTACCACTCAGCACTAGCCCCCCTGCCTTTTCTGGGTGTTGTCCCATGAAATGGCCTGAGCCAGGGGGTGGATATTTGATCACACTGTGAACCCTGAGATTGTGGTATTCACTGGAAAAAGCTATTTGTGGTTGTGCTGTGGCTCAGCCTTAACACATACCTTTAATCCAAGGAGCTTTCTGTTTCCTTATTTTAAACAGGATTTATCAACCACAGGTCAAGAGGTAGAGAAAGCAACCAGTTGACAGGAAGTGACCATAAATTATTTAAAAAACAAAAAAACAAAAACACAAAAAAACAGGAAGAAGAAATCAGGACAGAGGAAAAGAAACTCATAGGAAGTAGAAGGGAGAGAGTTTGAAGGAGGTTTTTTTTGAGACGGTGTGGGAGGAGGATACCTTCTGGGATGCCAGCAGAGTAGAAAGGTCAGCTGGGTGCTTTCTCTGCCTCCTTGAGCTAGCAGGCCTTCACCCCAGCACCTGGCTCCTGAGTCTACATTGGTAAAGTCAAATGATTGAGATTTTGTTAAAAACAAGAAGTTAGAACTTAGGAAGGTGTCTCACTGACATGGTCCCTGATGAGGACCATAGTCTGGCAGAGCCACAGCCAGAGTGGTGATGCTGTCTGTCCTCTCTTTCAGGTTGCGGGATCTGGCTGGAGGTGAGGATCTGGTGGGCACTGAGATGGTCCCTCCCCAAACACAAATGCATGCAAGCATGTACGCACGCACAACTTAGAAAGTGCTGGTGCCTGTGGGATGGAGTGGTTTCCAGCTATCCCTTAGGCATGAGAGCTCTCTGCAGAGGTCTGTGTCTTGGTTGGGGAAGGCGTAGGTTCAGAGGCTCTAGAGCTCTCATTGTTCCTCTGTGTTTGCTGAGTGGTTCGTAGACTTCATTACCAGTCCAGCCCCTGGAGGCCTAGTGACGTTTTACTGCCCTGTTCTGTCTTGCTTGTGGAGCCTGCCTAAGTCACCAGAAAATACGTTGATGCTTCATGCAGGCCATGAACTCATGTCCAGTATGTCCAGATGAAGTTCACAATGCAGTGTATGTACTGTGCATGTGATGGGGCTTTTACCAGGCCCAGGAACCCGCTGCAGTACAAAACATCAGTCACCACTGCGCATGTGTAACCTCATGCGCTCTAGCATAATAGCCTGTTTGAGGAATAGACGTGGCATTGTCATGAGCCACAGCCTACCTTTCTGCATTGCCCTGGTTCTGAGCAGGCTCTGTATCTGCCTGTAATGTGGATCTCAGCAGCTCGGTCATTGCTAAACATGCTGAATCTGGTGTGAGAGCAAGTTTGCAGAAGGCAGGTAGGTGATATATTCGCTCAGCTCCTTGACTGTCACCCTGATTCTCAGGCACTTTCCCTGATGATGATGTCCCGGAAAAAGCCTACAAGAAGCTGCTGGAAGGGAGACGGGAGCGGAAAAAGAAAAAGAAGCGTGTGCCAAAAGTGCAGCCACAGAATAAGAAAGGTAGGACCCTGGGTGGTGATTAACATATGAGCTCCCTCACCTTCCTTGTCTCCCTGGCCTGTGGCCCTGCCTTTGTTTAAGGCTTCCCTTTATGCACAAATGGTCACTGTGCACCTGGCCTGAGGACCCCATCACTGTCACTCTTCCCTTTTTTTAGTCAGAAGTCTTGCTGTCTGTGGGGACTGTCCTCAGAACTGTGATGCTTGTGCTCTGGCTAGACTACCTCTCTTTGACTCTTGCAGTCTTTGAACGGAGCCTCATCTGTCCTTCTCTATCCTTCGGTGATCTGAGCCTCACCACCCATGTCACTGTTGGTTTCAGGTCCTCTACCCGATAGCCTTCCTAGTGTGTGTGCTGGCTTATGGCACTCTTGCTAAAGACTGTCCAGGCCTCCTGTACATTGTTGGTAGCCCTGCCCTGAGCTGACAGTTTTGTCTTGTGCTAACCTGGGATCCGCCCTGGGAAAGGTCACTGGATTCACCCTGTCTGTGGCCCAGCTGTCTGCACACTGAGGCCATCCATATTGGTCCCAGCTGGGTAGTATCTTCTCCCCAGCCTACCCTTGGCCTGGCTCTGGCTTCAGTCTTGCAGATCTGACACAGCAGGTTGAGTTACGTTTGCTGGCCTTGGGGTGCAGGCTGTGGCCCTCTTGTTGGGTAACGATCTCTACCTCTCTTCCTGCACCTTCTTCACACCTTACCTGACACCCATGATGAGGCTCACTGTCCTCATGACATGGGATGGTCAGTAGCCATGGTTGGTGCTATCCCTGGTACTGGTGTTGCAGTTAGAGCTGGGTGAATGAAACACAATATATTGCCAAGCAGCTTGTTCATAAGCCTCACTGTGTCCACAGGCGAAAGCGAGACCGAAGAAGCCTCAAGTGCAGGCCCTAGCCCAGGGACAAAGAGGAAGACGGATGAGAAGACTGGCCAAAGAGGGCCTCCCAGGAAGAAGAGGACGCCTAATGCTAGAGCAAAGGGGGCTGGTGTGCAGCAACTTAAGAGGAAGGGGAAGCGGTCATTGCAGAGTGAGAAGTAAGGTACATGGCCCAAGCCGGCAATCCTCCTCACTCACCTGGATGAATGGGCAGAGTACCTGAGTATGCTCCTGCAGCTTCTGAATGCCGAGGCTCTGAGCTTCCTACAGGGGGGAATAGGAGCAGCATGGGGGAGGAGACCCTTTCTTTACTGCCGGCCTTCAAGAATGCGCCTGCCTCAGAGCCACTGCCTGCTACCAGAAATTCACTAAGACGCAAATTTCCACATGTACCATTTGCAGCGATCCTAGCCAGAGGCCAGAGGATCTAGAGATTGAGTCCCAGATTAAAACCCTCTCCCTTTCCCAAAGTAAGGGAAACAAAACCACAGAATTCCCCCTGTGTGGGCACTTTGACCTCTACCCCGGGCACTCACAAAATAAACTATGGATTTTTGGCTGCTTGTGCCCTTTGTTTGGACATCTGTGTGGTAGTGGTAGGTGCCACTTCCTATGTGATGTGTCTATTTTTATCTACTTTCCTCTTTATGTGCATCTGAGAACCCTTACAAAAGAGCCTTCCAGGCGGCTGTGAGTTGGTGCTCTATACTCCCACCTCACAAACTTTCACTGTTAAGCGTTTTCAGGAGGTTCCTGTGAGGTGACAGGACCATGGTAGGAAGGCCTGGCTGTTGCCACCACCTCTTTTTGGGACTCTGTAGTATGTCCGGACACACGTGTTACTCCCGGCGTGTTTGGCTAGCAGTCTCCCTGTGCTGCAGCCTCTGATGTGTGACCTGTCAGCCGCCCCCCCTGCTCCGCACGAGGTACTTGGAATTGTGTGGCGCATGGTCTTTGCACCCAGCATAGGTCGCTTAGCTCTTCTAAGGGGCGCATGCCTGCAGCGTGTTCTGGAGCTTTCTGAGGTCGATAACCTCACTAGAGTATGTTTCTCATTATGGACACTTGGGGTGTCTGCACTGAGCTGTACAGGAGTCACGTGCTCAGATACAGTGCATTATCACTCGTGTCTTTGCTGCTCTGGGGAGACACTCAGGAGAGGAATTGCCAGGGCAACTGAAGGACCACCAGGCTTTTCTGAGGCGCGTCACCTTGACCTGTTGCATGTTGTGGCCTTAGGTGTGACAGACCCTGCTCCTGGTGTGACCCTGAATACAGGTGCAGCTTCAAGGAAGGTTGTCACCTTGCCTGTCAGTCCACAGCTTTGCTCCCTCCACACAGCCCCGGGGTGTGGGAGTGGCTTGGTGAGCCGGCAGTACCTTCTGTTCACAGTGTGGGGAAGCTGCCCTGCCTCGTAGGGTGGTGGTCCATGCGGAGGCTCACCGGTTCTACCTTGCCTTTTTTGGCCAGGCCAGTTGATCTAAGCAGGTGAGCAGATTTGGCTCAGTCTCTGTAAGCATATGGCCTCAGCCAGAAGACAGGCCCCTCCCAAAGTCCATGCTCGCATGAAAACACAGAGGAGAGGGAGTTCCTTGGTACTGATGGGGTGCACTCCAGGGCCCCCACAAACACGAAAGCCCCTCTTCAAATGCTGTCTTTTCACAGAACTCATGCACACCTTCCTACGGACTGTGTGTTCACATCTGGTACAAGGCAAAGTTCTATACTGCTATCCTGTGTTGATGAGGTTAGGACATGGAGGAAACGCCCAAGCTCTTTCACATCAAATAGTTTGGATCTACAGGTATTTGAATCCCCAAGTTGGGAGCCTGTGGCCGGTATGGAGGGTAGGCTGAATATAACTTATCTTTACTGTTTCTCAGGCTAAGTGCACACGCCTTTAATCCCAGCACTCGGGAGGCAGAGGCCCAGGAAGAAGGGGATGCTATATCTTCAATAGACCTGAAGGCTGTGGGTCGTTGGCTGCTGGTCCTCAGAAACAAGGGAGATAAAGCCACAAACTGGGGATTCAGATGGCCCACGAGTATGCCAGGATGACCTCCGGAAACCACATCAGGGAGATAGCTCAGCTTTATTCAGGGATAACAAAGGCTATATAGTCTTTGGGGAGCAGGTAGGGGGCTCACTACATGATTGGTTGGAGCTAGGAATTCCCAGGATGCTTATTAGATTCTGGCAGCACGGTCCTATCATATGAAGGGGAATACAGTACCTAATTATCCTATGGGCGCCGGGAGGGGGTAGTGCTAGAAGGAAATTGTGCCAAAGCTCATCAACCAGATATAGTTAGAGGCATCTATACCTAAAGACACCCTCCAGATGAGGTCAGGCAGAGTAGGAGGCCCTTTTGGGGAGAAAAAGTCTTCTATCTAGTGCTGAGCTCAGAAAGGCTACTGGTCCTGGAGCACTGTGACCTCAAGAAGCAGGGTCCTGGGCACCTCCATGTCTGTCTCTTAAGGTCTTCAGCTGATGAGACAAGACAAGGACCCCTACCCCCGACACATCCACAGCAGAGGGCTGCCAGCTTCATTAAGAGCCTGCTGCATTAAACACCAATCTCATCTATTTGTTTCTGCGCTTTCTTACCTGTCCTGCTGACTGCGATTGTAGGCTCTGGTCCTCAAGTGAGTCTGCCCACGCTTCTGCTGAACCCAGGCCCCAGGAACCTGGTCCTCAGGCCTGTTCACGGTTTCCCATTTTCTGCTAGACCTCTCCATAATCTCTGACCAAACTGACCTTCCTTTGTGAGCTCTAAGGCTCCATTCCTGGCTCCACGGCTCCATGCTGCCCATGTCAGAGTAGACCTTTCTTACCTGCTCGCTCAGAGTTTCTACTGCCGTGATGACCAAAAGCAATCTGGGGAGGAAGAACATCAGGGCAGGAAACAACGCAGGAGCTGATGCAGAGGCCATGGAGGAATGCTGCTTACTGGCTTGTGCTCCATGCCTTGCTCAGCCTGCTGTGTGTGTGTGTGTGTGTGTGTTGGGGGGAGGGGATGTTAGGGCTTCTCTGTGTAGCCCTGGCTATCCTGGAACTGGCTCTGAGACCAGTCTGGCCTCCAATTCACAGAGGTCCACCTGTCTCTGCCTCCCAAGTCCTGGGATTAAAAGCGTGCACCACCACCACCCAGCTTAGCCTGTTTTTTTTATAATGACTAGGACCACTAGCAGGGGTGGTATTTCTCTCTGTTAAGATCTATCTATTATGTAGAGGGCATCAGATCTCATTATAGATGGTTGTGAGCCACCATGTCGGTGCTGGGAATTGAGCTCAGGACCCCTGGAAGAACCGACAGTGCTCTTATAACTGGGGAGCCATCTCTCCAGCCCCCAAAGGCACTTTCTCAACCGAGGTTCCCTCCCTTCAGATGACTCTAGCTATGTCAAGTTGACCTAATACTTGCCAGCAAAATACTTGAGAGAACAATCACTATTAAGCCACAACCTTTTTTTTTTTTCACATATTAATATCAGCATCACAATATGAAACATTTCACAAACTTAGAAAGTCCCATGGGCTTAGAAACTCAAACACTTTAGAAGTATTTTTTAAAAAAACCTTAAAAAAAAAAAATCAAAGTTTGGCTGTGTAGTGGTGGCTCACCCCTTTAGTCCTTGCTTTCAGTCTTTGCACTGAGGAGGCAGAGGCAGGTGGATCTCTTGAGTCTAAGGCCAGCCTGGTCTAGATAGTGAATTCCAGGACAGCCAGGGTTTGTGTAAAGAGACCTGGTCAAAGTGAATGAATGAATGAATAGTAAGCTGAAACGGGGTTCTCAACCCACCTGGTGTCCTGTTCACCCACCACAAGTGTCCAGTTTGGTGGCGTGTCACAGGTGCAGAGACGAAGCCTATTTTAGAACCTTTCCATCACCTCCAGAGAAACCTCCCACTCAGTGCCCCTTCCTCTGGAGCTGACTTGGGGAATGTCTGGGCAAAGCTGTGTGCTCAGCAGCCTTGTGTGGTAAGGACAAGCTGTAGTTCACAGGCTGAGGTGCACGTACAGTTGAATGGCAGGATGCGGTGACCTGTGTCTCGACCACGGGACCCTGCTGAAGGGACCACCTTTTCTTATCTTCCTGAAGCAGTCGCCAGCAGATCCTGCCTGGAGATCCCTCAGCTCCTTCTCTTTGCATCTCATTTCCTTCAGCAGGTCATCAGACATTCTTCAGCAGACATGTGCCCAGGAAGGTCACTCTACAGACAGCGCTGCAGCCTTGCCAAGAGCTTGCACACATACATACTCTGACATCTCCACTCATCTGTCAATCACTCTGTGCATCTTCGCAGCCAACCATCTGCTTCTCGACCTTTCCTAACATCTGGTGTGTATCCCCTGTCACCTGCCCACCACCATTCCTCTCTGCCCGTGTTTTGACTGCTCTATCTACTGTCCAGTCCATCTACTTATCTGTGACCTTAGCTGATGGGTGGCTGGCACCACAATTTTGCATGCAGAACCGCCATCCTTCCACGGTTACAAATCTCTTCCAAAGGTAATATCCTTCTGCGTCATGTCCACCTGGTGTCATTTCACCCCTAATGAAATCCCACCCACCATACTGAGGTCACTGTGGAGCTCCTTGTTGGCAGGGAGTCTTGGACTGCCCTGGGGGAGGGACAGGATAGAGGGGAAGCCACTGGGCACTCTCCTTGTGTCACCTTCCAAGTCCCCAGGTGCAGTTCCAGCCTCCGCCTCTAGGGGTGGCCTGGGTCCTGGTTATGGCTTGGGAGGTAGTCTGTCGGCAGCTCCAGTTTCTTGAATGCAGGCTGTGGTTTCCAAGGGAACAGGCTTCCGGACTGGTGGGAGGGGACTTGCCTCTAATCCGCTGAAGGGTGCTTCTGATACCTGGGTTCCTGCTGTCACTCTCCATTCCACCTGTGCTTCTAACCAGACTATGATGCTCTCTGGACGAGTGCTTTTTTTTTTTTTCCCTGTGACTACTGTACTAAGTTCTGACTTGATAGAAATTGAGGGGTGTCCAAGTATAAAGTAGGGGTGGTGTGACTCACTCACATGACGTCAGGGACCAATCCAGGCTTCTACTGGCCTAAACAGGAAAGAGGACTCCCAGTTGGGCACTAAAGTTGACACTGCTGATTGTTTCCTGTAGCCCAGACCCCAGCAAGGGGTGTGTGACAAGGCCACCAGAGCCCTGTCCTGTCACAGTGATGCCTGGAGCCTCTGGGAGCCTTCTGGGTTGCAGAGGTGTTAACTGGGGCTCTACCAGGTGCAGTCAAGACAGGAAACCCAGGTTTCCCCTATGACAGCCTCCTGATCCAAGCGGAGCCACAGTGCCCAGAGGGTCAGTGCCACCAGCGAACGTGACTCCTCCAGCCTGTGTTGTCCTGTCAGCCCCACTGCTCTTCACACCTTCCTAGTTTCCATTCTGTTGATGCCTTTTAGGTCTCCGGAGGTATGTTCAGAAAGCCTAGCACTTACAGGAGAGTGAAGGAGGCTGTTGGGCTGGTTGCTTTACTCTGGGAAGTTAGAACAGCTGTCTTTAGGCTGAGAATGGTGGCGTATGCCACCCAGCACTCA